ACCGGTACCGCAAAGGTCAGCCCAGGGTAAAAAGACACACGATCTCGTACATTCAAGGTCGACCGTGTCGACGCCCTAAATATTATCCACTCTCTCTGGACCCTACCAACTACAGTGCAATGCATACATTTCCCGCTCTGTGTGTGTGTGGGGGGGGTGGGGGGATGAGATCACAGGATTTATTGTTTTGCAAAAGTATTTACATGTAGGTAAGTTGAAAAGCACCACAGAATCATCACTGTCAGGCTCTGTAATCAATGCATCCGACGTGCTCAGGACACGTCTATGCATACATGTGCCCGTCAAACTCTCCCTGCCTGACCCAAAATTATTTATGGTGTGCCTTGGCCCTAGTGGCAGCCATGCATTAGTAGTAAAGGTGAAATCCTGATAATTCGAACCTCAAAATGCCAGGAAAAAACTTCTAATTATCCGGACATTCCAATTATCCAAACATGAACCCACAACACAATATGTATGTCAAAATGCTCTCATGGTCACGCAGAGTTGCGCTATGGACCTTAGACACAGATTTCACGGATACTGAACTGACCAGCGCAGCCTGCTCATGCAAACTGAACTGATCAGTACAGTGTACAGTGAACTTCGAATTACACTTTGCTAACTTCAAATTGTCAGCACAAATCCCACACATTTTCTATGTAAGTGGAATCTGTGGGACTTAGAATTAACCGGACATATCCAGTTCGAGGTTCGAATTATCAGAATTTTTTATGTGGGACTCGTATTGATAGAAATCGGTCCTGGAAAAACTTCTAATTAAGCGGTATGTTCGAATTAAGCCATATTCGAATTATCAGGATTCCACCTGTAGTTATGTGTGTGTGTGTGTGTGTGTGTGTGTGTGTGTGTGTGTGTATGTGTGTTTGTGGGTGTGTGTGTGTTTGTGTGTGGGTGTGTGTGTATGTGTGTGTATATATGTATTTATGCGTGCGTATGTGTGTGTGTGTGTGTGTGTGTGTGTGTCTGTGTGTGTGTGTGTGTGTGTGTGTAAGAGAAAATCTGTGGTTGCACATCCAGTGCATTTGCAGATTTGCGTGCTTCTCTTGCGACGGGCGTATACATGGTACATGGTACACGGTGTGTGTGTGTGTGTGTGTGTGTGTGTGTGTGTGTGTGTGTGTGTGTGTGTGTGTGTGTGTGTGTGTGTGGCGCCAGTCCTGTTTAATATTTAATTTTCGGCGGTGGTCACACACTGGCGCTCGGACTGCCCGGATGTTGGCGTTACCGTCAAACACAAGCCCGGACGTAGGCTCGTCGGCGATCGTACTGCAAAATCACGGCTCCTTCCAACCCGTGTCACTGAGCCACTTTTTGCTGATGATGCTGCAGTTTTCTCCACCACCCAGCAAGATTTCGAGTCGTCCACGACCAAGTTTATCTCGTGCGCTTCCCAATGGGGTTTAACTGTCAGCGTGGCCAAAACCAAAGGTATGGCGGTGAACACTCCGACGAATGCGCCAATGGCACTGGATGGTGGGGAAGCCATAGATTCTGTGGAATCATTCATGTATCTTGGCAGTGCCATACACCGCGATGGTTTGTCCTCCCATGACGTCCAGGCCCGCATTGGCAAGGCATCCAAAGCCTTTGGTAGTTTGAAGCAAGCCGTGTTTGAGAACCGGTCACTGAGTCTGCAGTGTCGTCGTCGCGTGTATGTTGCCGTGGTGCTCTCTACCCTCCTGTACGGCGCGGAGACCTGGACAATGAAGGCTCCAGACCTACGGCACCTCAACCTCTTCCACCATCAATGTGTCAGATCTATCGTTGGAGTGTCGCGACGGCAGCAATGGGAGACCCACGCAACGTCCTCAGCCCTTGCAAAGACCCTTGGAGTGCCTGAGGACATTCGTCACATCGTACGGGAACGGCGTTTGCGCTGGCTTGGACACGTGGCACGGATGGAAGATCACCGGTTGCCGAAGTGTGTTCTCTTCGGTGAACTTCCTGCCTCGCGCCCCGCGCATGGTCCAAGCAAGAGGTGGAGGGACGTCGTTATGGATGACTTTGCGTCGGTTGAGCCACCGGTGCCAACACGTGGATGGTACGATGCAGCCCAAAACCGTCCGGAGTGGCGTGCCATTGCCCGTCGACCACCCAAGGCACCCTCTGCTGCTGGTTGCGCCTGCGGCCGCATGTTCCGTCGAAGCGGCAACCTGAAACGCCATCAGTCATTCTGTCGTGGACTGGAGAAATAACAATGCGCTATCATTGCTACGCAATGGGCAAGGTCAAGGTCAAGGTGTGTGTGTGTGTGTGTGTGTGTGTGTGTGTGTGTGTGTGTGTGTGTGTGTGTGTGTGTGTGTGTGTGTGTGTGTGTGTATGAGTAGTGAGTAACACCAAGTGTTTACCTTCCGATCCACTGGAGCGTTTCTGCAGTAGCTCTTGAAGCCTGGCCACATCTGCCCATGCCCATATAGAGACAAAGAAACACAGAGAGTGAGAACGAAAGAGAGAGAGAGAGAGAGAGAGAGAGAGAGAGAGAGAGAGACCCCTCATGAAGCCCTTTTGCTGGCCATGAATGAAACAACTAGGTCACAAATCACAACCAATCCAACCCACACAAGCCGTGTTCCATTGTGTTCTATAGTCTACAAAAGTACACGCACACAATCATAACCTGTAGCGGTATACAGTATACTGATGCAATGGCGGATATGTGTATGCGTGGAATAGTGTGGCTAATGTGATTGTGTCGCAGCATTCCGGAATATGCCGCAGATTTCGGGCAAAGCAAAGGGCAAGAAGGCATTCACAGATACATTAGTACGAGACATCATCGATCTTCCACACTATGAATACAGCCTGAAACTGCTATAATGCCGGATGATATACCACAGTTCACAAGGCTGCTTTCAGGCTTTCACACAACTCTTACCTGATCGAAGATCGCTTGATGGCGATGAATCTGCCATGATAATCCTTAGTTCGTACTTGACACGCTAATCGACGGTGTGCTACGCACTGCAACGCTCAATGAAGCGATCTGTTCTCTGCCGGTGTCCGTCTTGCCTCGTCAAGTAAGAAGGGTGAATGTTTTCAAATTTGTGTTTTCAAGAAATTTGCTTTGTTGCGTGTCAGACCTTTGGCGATGTTTTGTCCGCAGATCTGGCAACCACACTGACTTGCAATACATAGCACTGGCAAGCACCGCACCTGTACGGTATCCCGGCGCTTCGCTAAACCGCACTTCTGTCTTGTAGGGACAGACTCACAGGCAAGACACCACCACTGCCACTACTGCATCAGATGTAGATCATTCTACACTAGGCACTACACGGACTCGGTGGATCTACACCGGCCCTAACCCAATCATTCTCACTCACAGGACGTCACGATCATAATCCTACAATGGCTATAATGTAGACTGGTAGACTGACACTGTAGTGCTAGACCTAGACCCTGATGGCCTAAATGCTACTCGGACTCGGAGGTGCAGTACTCGTTCTCGGTGTAGTGGTCTGCCACGTAGACCCAGGAGGTAGACAGCCGACATCTGCTAACACTGACAGGATCTAGTCTTTCTACTTAGACTAGGACTAGTCTGGGGACATGTCGTCTGTACCAGCAAAAAAAAAGATAAAAATGATTTTCTCAGCCGTGGTTATGAGAAAACCAGGGGAGTTCCACCACTCTCCATGTTCATGTTTGTGCTTCGCTTTTCCCGTAAAACTAAAAGAGACCTTTTAGGCTTTTATCTTTTCGACCACTCCCCCGTCCTGACTCAAACCGAGTATCATGACAACGTTTTCTTACCAATTCTGTAGATCAACCGGGTACGTGCGCGGGGACGTTTGCGCTCATGGCTAGCCTATAATAGATTTACTTTCGGTTTGCTCGCTAAGGTTGCGGTCACAAGACGATAAAATACCCGAGAAATGTGGCACAATGCGCTTTTCTCACGGATTTCCTCTCTCCTGGCTGAGAAGTGCAAGGCGCCATACGCGCAGGTTATCTCCTTGCTGCGCTGCCGCCTTGGGTTTGACCTGGTTCGTTGTGGTGCCATGTGCCTGCGTGGCTCAATGAGCATTTTTGCTCCTGCCGTGCCTGAGTTCCCTGCAGAGCTGAGATGGCAACTTCAAGACTTCCAAGTCTCAACCACCAAAAAAAACACCAGTGCAGCATGTCGGTCATTTATCCGCGCACCGTCTTCTCCACAACGAAGAGAACAACTCGGTGGCGATCTACATGATGAATTTTTCATTTCCCTGGGCGCGGGGACTATCACCACCAGAGAGTAGTGAAATAGGTATTTTACTGCTCTCTGATACTTGTCTGCATCGTAATCGTACACGTAAAAGTCTCGTGTGAGCGCACTAGTGGTAGTACTTTTTCTCGCTCACAGTTAGGCACCGGCGGATTATACCGGCATAATTATTGGCATAATTTGGTGGTTGAACATTTGGAGCATAATTTGGCATCCTTTCGGAGGTAGGAGCATAACTACATGATTATACGACAGTTCTAGTACATGTATGTAAGCTACACAGTTGTGTACAATGCACCTGATCAGTGCTGGTGGTCTGCATGGTTCGGAGTAGCCCTTTTCCAAAGATGCTCGCCACTTGTTTCGCAACTTTCCGTTCTTTTTGAAGAAATCGCAACTTTCTTCATTTTCACAAACAACTACTTCGCAACTCTTCCGAAAAGGTGTGCAAAGAAGCGCGCTGGAGGAGACCATCGACTGTGCAGCCTGTGGTTATTGCTCTAACAATTAAACAAATGAGGTATACCGGTAGTTGATGTTCGGTCTTGGTGGAAGGAGAGGTGGAGCTACGGGAGAGATGAGCTGATTCTTCCCAGGGTGAGGGTGACATCGGTTGGACGAGCATGACGATTACGAAGACAGTTGAACATGATAATTTTCAAAGGTAACTCAAAATAATTTGGCAATGAAAATAACAAAAGAAATCAACTAATGGAGAAGAAGTCATGTTTTCTCCTTTCCATGTTGATCTTTAGCATGCATGGTCATCTTGGTATGGGGATATTCATGTATTTTGTTGTAATTATGGCCACTTGCAAGTACGAGAAAGGCACAAATTTCCGAACTTTGAGGCTCCATAAGTACAACAAAGTGAATTTGTATCCTCACGTGACAAAGCATAATAATTATGAGGATTTTGTGAGCATAATGCGAGAATCCATGAAAGCATAATTCCATAATCTCGCGAGCATAATCCGCCCGAGCCTACTCACCGTGCAACCTTTCTCGCCTGTTTTTTTTTATCGTCGTATGAGCGCAACCTTTTAGGAACCGTCCATGTACATGTATCATGGTGTACATGTAACCATGGTAACGGCGGAAAAGGACTTGGTTGCGTCATAGCTGTGTGATCATTGTATTACTGGCTCTGTTCACTGGACATAGAGGCTGTTTTGTTTTTGTATATTGTGTTGTCTTCTCCCCTTCTGACGAGTAGGTTGTGTACTTAGGAAAAAAACAAAAATCACTATACGCAGCCTGAGGACTTTTAAAAGTCTTTCACTGTCTATCTCTTTTGCATGCAGACCGTCTTCTGTGGTAGTCCTGGTTTGTACTACACACTCAGTAGATCTACGCAGTCGCTGTGCTGAGTGAACATGAACAGAACGAAGATATGACGTATCCTTTTTTTAAATTTCTAATGCAGTCGGATTGCAAGTGAATTGTCAATGCGCAGTGATTGCGCACATTTGGATGAAGGTCATTAATTTAACTCCACCAGAAGTGGAAAATCGTGCTCAGCTTGTCTGTGGACGGAACAAATCGAGGAATTCCACCTTGCACCAAACCCCACATGCAATGAACATTGTGCGAATATACATGTGATGATGTAAGTTAGAGTATGTACAGCACATCACAGTGATCCCTGTGCAACAACTATACACATCACAGTGATCCCCGTGCAACAACTATACACATCACAGTGATCCCCGTGCAACAACTATACACATCACAGTGATCCCCGTGCAACAACTATACACATCACAGCGATCCCCGTGCAACAACTATACACATCACACTGATCCCCGTGCAACAACTACACACATCCATCACATTCATTTTGCCCGTACAACAGGCTTTACTGCTATACACACCATACACCATACATCACATACATGTACACCCAATTTATAGGGTGAGCCAATTGAATACTAATAGTTTACTATGGTCGGCAAGTAAATTTGGTTCTCAGTTTCTCACACCACTACACTCGTCTACCAGAAGTGATCACTGATGAATGATGATTGATAGATCAATAATATCGACAGTACGGAAACGCAACAGTAATTAGTATTAGTGATGGTAGAAGCCTTTTGCACGGGAAAATAACGCAATTGATGCAATGTTCGCAAATATAATGAACACAAAATACACAATTCAACCTTAACGGATCAGTAATAATCAGAGTGGAGGGTGATGATAAAAACCTGATGATGAAGTACATGTAGTTAGCATAGAGTTTGGTCACAGCCAGTGGGACGTTTTAATGTTTGAATGAGTTCTCACATGGTTAAAAGCGGAGATGGGAATGAACGTTCTGCTACAGCTGATATATTATGCTAGTCACAAAAAAGTAGTGCAGGATTCATTACAATGTCATTGTACATGTAGATAGGCAAATTGTGTATTGATAGGTTTCTGGTTTTACAGTCTTAGATGTGTGTAATCAAGAGAATATAATGGTGAACATCATCCGCTCTGTGTGTAGGCGGGAAGGTGATGACGTCGTGCGATGTGTTCATGATGGACCCATCGTTCATAGTGTAAGCAGCTGAAATAGCGTTGTTAGAGCGTATGCTGGAGATACCAAGACTTCTCGGCTGACCAGAAAACCAGACGTGCTGGCCTGGACACAGGGTGAGGGTGACGATGGCGGCGATGCTACAGCTTGATCAACTGAAGATGACTGAAGCTGTACGGGCGCAACTGGAACTTTTGTACTGCGATCCTGTTTCTTGCTGCTGGGCAAGGAAAGAGCCAGCTGTACTTTGATGATCAGCTTTCTCCCTGCAGCAGCCACATCCAGGGAGGTGCCACCCCACGGCCCGTTCACGTGCACGCCCAGTGACGTTCGCGCGGCTGCAGGTGTGAAGTTCTTCAAGATTCCAATCTCCACCGATTGTCGCACTGTTGTCCGCTGCTGTTCCTGGCTGGGATCGGACAAAGCTGATGGGACTGGAGTAGAACAGTCGCGAAATCGAAACACTAGTCCATTGGGGCTTTCACTCACTGGGGAACACGGAAAGGACAACAAACAGAAATCAAAAACATCATTACTAATCGACTACTTGTGTATGCACATCATATGTACATCAAGTATTTGGAAATGTATCAAAAACGAACAAAAACGAATTTATCCACAAGAGCATTCTGCAACATTGGCAGTTTGAGGCAGCTATTGGTGCTTGTTATCAGTTTCTGTTTAAAGGATTTATTATCCAATGTTGTTGTTCCGACTTTGTGGCCGGACTTGACTTGTGGACTTGTGTGAGGAGGGGGGTGGGGCACGGCCACGCCCCCGCTTGTTTGTAAACAGTTGCCTGTGTGGCAGTGATCGCGTAAAAGGTTACGAAACGAACGTAATCGAACGGCAGTGTTCCAAGGTCACAGAACGCTTACTTGTTTTGGATAATTCCTCGACCAGCTTGTCTACGGTCACCTGCATACGTCCTCCGGAGGTTGGTATGGAACACGAACGTCTCTCTGACAACGTTCCACTACCGCCATCACCACTACCATCGACATGCTTATCATCACAGACGGGATCGATGACTATGTGCCCGTCACGTGACTGACTAACATCAAACACATCCAAGGCAGTGGGGGAGGGAGTGGAGCACTTTTCACCTGCCATATTTAGTGTTGTTCAAATATTGATTTCAGATATTACGAACAATAGGTAAGGTTTGATGAAAGAGGTCAAGTGTACTTGAATGAATTCAAAGTGAAGGAGACTTTGGAGAACTGAACTTTCTTTGCTAACTTAGAGCTCCTTTATACTCTCCATCAGGCACTTGTTAAAAGGGACGTGGAAGCTCCTCTTGAAAAAATGTTTGGGATGGTTTGGGCTAAAACAGTTACGCCCCTAACTTTCGATCTAGTGCGTCTTGAGAAAGATGTCTGGGACGTCATGGGTCGACAGTTACGCCACTAAAGTTAATCTAGTGCTGTGTATTGTATGGGTGTAAGATTCCGTAGACTCAGTGCACGTGACACCAATGTTTACCTTGCAGTCAGGGAGTAGTAATGTATTTTACTACTCCCTGGGTGCAGTGGGTTTTCGTGGGGTGTGCTGTGCGAACTGCGTGTAATCTGCGCGTGTAGCTCGCGCAACGAGTTACGTGGACGAGAAGCAGCCTTCAACGACTTAGGTAATTTACCATTTCCCGTGGAGATTACGTAATTTGACAAGCCACTTGTCAACATGTTGATAGGAGGGATCTTCAAATGCTCTGCTGCTTGGCTTTCAGCCAGACAGCCCAGTCGGCCTGTGCAGGGGAAACGGCCATAGGCTTAGCCGCAGGACTTGTGGAACAGCCGCCTGAGCCAGAGTTGACACTGGAGCAGGAGCGCGTGCCTCGCTATGGCACGCATTGGCTTTGAGAACGTACTGTACTGGCATATCGTTACAGAGATCTCTAGAGAGGAGTTCGGAAAAAAAGAAAAAAAGAAAACTGAACAGGAGTGTATTGCACCAGTTCTGTCGTAGGTACTACTAGTGTCATGTCATTCCGTGTGAGTGCCAGGGAACCGTCCCAGACAGACAGGTTTGACATCATAATATTGCTATTGCGTTTTTTATTACTTCTTGAGTTGCTTCATTCAATTGGTTCCATTCTTTGCCCGTAATAGTGGCTTTCCATGATCATGTCGACGAGTATTACCCACTAGTGCACTCAATACTAAGTCCTACTACAGCATTCCACATTAAAACCTTTTTTGAACTATGGTTACAGCACGTCATGTATACCACGTATACCACGGTCCGTGGTTGGTCTCACCCTCTCCTCAATTCAATTGGCTGTCTTGACATGCCACGAGGTGCAGAAATATATAAAATAAAATAAATACACGATCGAAACTCATCAACACATCATCCCAGTTCCTATTGGAGTCCAATATTAGGAGGTAGTAAGGCGACTGGTCCGGACCGCCCTCAAGTCCACTCTTTCCCGCACTGGTCGCTAGTCCAATAGGGACACGGGCATACAGTCATGTACATGTACACAGGTCGTAAGGCCAATGGGCGACGGGCATACACAGGTCGTAAGGCCAATGGGCGACGGGCATACACAGGTCGTAAGGCCAATGGGCGACGGGCATACACAGGTCGTAAGGCCAATGGGCGACGGGCATACACAGGTCGTAAGGCCAATGGGCGACGGGCATACACAGGTCGTAAGGCCAATGGGCGACGGGCATACTCAGGTCGTAAGGCCAATGCAATGGGCTACGGGCATACTCAAGTCGTAAGGCCAATGGGCGACGGGCATACACAGGTCGTAAGGCCAATGGGCGACGGGCATACACAGGTCGTAAGGCCAATGGGCGACGGGCATACACAGGTCGTAAGGCCAATGGGCGACGGGCATACTCAGGTCGTAAGGCCAATGCAATGGGCTACGGGCATACTCAAGTCGTAAGGCCAATGGGCGACGGGCATACACAGGTCGTAAGGCCAATGGGCGACTGGCGTACACAGGTCGTAAGGCCAATGGGCGACGGGCATATACAGGTCGTAAGGCCAATGGGCGACGGGCATACACAGGTCGTAAGGCCAATGGGCGACGGGCATACACAGGTGCGCACAGGTCCTTTTGGGCCACTCAGAAGATGTGGGGCTGTGTCTGCTGTGTCGCACTAGAAATGAGTCCCGTGATCAGTGGTTCTCAAACAGTATTGACATGGGATTGTCGGTATCTCAAACAATATTGACATGGGATCGTCGGTATAATTATAGTGGTGCATGCACTGATAATGCCCCCCCCCCCCCACCCTTCCACATCAGTTTTACAAATTAATTATTTTATTAAGAGTAACATAAACTCCCAAGAGTGTGCCACTCATTTCGCCTTGATAATCATTGGGCCTTGATAATCATTGGGCCTTGATAATCATTGGGCCTTGATAATCATTGGGCCTTGATAATCATTGGGCCTTGATAATCATTGGGCCTTGATAATCATTGGGCCTTGATAATCATTGGGCCTTGATAATCATTGGGCCTTGATAATCATTGGGCCTTGATAATCATTGGGCCTTGATAATCATTGGGCCTTGATAATCATTGGGCCTTGATAATCATTGGGCCTTGATAATCATTGGGCCTTGATAATCATTGGGCCTTGATAATCATTGGGCCTTGATAATCATTGGGCCTTGATAATCATTGGGCCTTGATAATCATTGGGCCTTGATAATCATTGGGCCTTGATAATCATTGGGCCTTGATAATCATTGGGCCTTGATAATCATTGGGCCTTGATAATCATTGGGCCTTGATAATCATTGGGCCTTGATAATCATTGGGCCTTGATAATCATTGGGCCTTGATAATCATTGGGCCTTGATAATCATTGGGCCTTGATAATCATTGGGCCTTGATAATCATTGGGCCTTGATAATCATTGGGCCTTGATAATCATTGGGCCTTGATAATCATTGGGCCTTGATAATCATTTCGCCTTGATAATCATTGGGCCTTGATAATCATTGGGCCTTGATAATCATTGGGCCTTGTTAATCATTGGGCCTTGATAATCATTGGGCCTTGATAATCATTGGGCCTTGATAATCATTGGGCCTTGATAATCATTGGGCCTTGATAATCATTGGGCCTTGTTCCCGTCGTATATTGTGCGGATTAAAATATACCAATCAACCTATCTGCATTCGCCACCTTTTCATTGGGCAGATCTGCCCGTTTGGTTTGCGAATTACAATAAACACAACAACAACAACAACAGCAACAACAACAACAACAACAACAAGAATAGAGATTTGAAACAACAACAACAACAACAACAACAACAACAACAACAACAACAACAACAACAACAACAACAACAACAACAACAACAACCAACCAACCAACTCTGGGCACCCTTTCTATGGAGTTAGCCGGTAGCGACAACTCTCAGTAGCAAGAGACTCACAACAGGATCTACGATCATGTAGTCGTACATTGTACTCGAAGCACACGATGCACAGCAAACTGATTGGATTGGAAGAGCGTTGCGGGAGCTGGTTACTAGTATAGTCAAGATCAAAATAATATATTATTAAAATACGTCTTCAAAATGGAGTATACCAAGATGAGAGGAGGGCTTCATTCCGAGCAGCTCCATTAACGATATGTCAGGATTCAAGCAGATAATGTTGGATAGAATAGTTCAGAATGGTGCGAAAGTGCCTGGGGATGAATAAAGTAGCAACTGACTGAATCTCTGGAGAGTCCTTCGGCAGTAGCTAATAAAGAGAATTGCTAAACACAGCAATGAAGTGCACGCAAACTGCATAGTATGTACATTATAATAGCAATGAAAAGTATGAATGCCGCAGACATCACCACGCAACATGACAATTTGTTCAAGGTTTGGTTTTGTGTGTTTCCAAAATCGATTTTCACGTTCCGATCATCAGTGGAAATACGGAACTAAAGAGATCAAGGGAAAAACAAAGGTTAAAAATCCAAAGAAGTGTGACACATGACGGGTAACTTGTGGTAAGTTTTACAAAAAGTGAGAACTAAAATAAAGAGTAAGTGTGACAAACGGGCATGAACAGTGCAGAAACAACTCATGAACACGGGGTGCAAACTCACGAAAATAACCTAAGTGCTAAAACATGTTCTTTTTGCTTACACAAATCGGGCTTATGCGTACGACTACAAACAGCTTCAAGGACCTTCAACTGCTGGACATAACGGGCACGACACAGTACAGAGAAGTGGGAATCATCATACACACTCAAACAATCGGGACGAGATAACAAATGCAAATACACAGCTGACTTCTTCCGAATTTCACCCTCATCAGCTCCATCACCTTCCCTGCCACCTGACTCCTCCTCGTCCGTTTTATCACCATCACCACCAGCCGTCTCACCGTCATCCGCCTCGTCTTCATCCGCCGCCTCGTCATCACCCGCCTCGTCGTCATCTGTATCCTCGCCGTCATCCGCCTCGTCGTCATCTGTATTCTCGTCATCCGCCGCATCATCACCCAACTCATATTCACCACCAGTCAGTCGTCTGATACCATCCATGTTCTCCTTCCTACGTCTGTCCCGTGTCACTGTCTTTACCTCATCTACGTCCCGAGATTGTGTTCCGTTTTGCCCCCGGCTTCCGGTCTCCTTCGATGCTCCGCGTGGGCCTTGGCCATTCCTAGCATATATTTCGGTTGAATAATTGGCGGTCGACCTCCGTGGTCTCTGGACCCACGGATCAAGCGCCGGAGGGTGCTGCGGTGTCCGCACAGCCGGATACTGTGTCAAAGAAATGGGCTCAATGTCTGTGATTGGCGGTACTGTTGTTGTTGCCGACTCCTCCCAAACCCCAGCCACCAACGGCACTGGTGGTGGCTCCGGTGGCGGCAAGGGCAACGGTGGAGAAGGCACATTCGGTTGGCTTAGTGATCCACCACTCTTCCTCTGCACCGTGTGTTCGACTTGCTCTGGTTGTGTCGGTGGTAGAGGGAGCGGGCTCTTGCGTGGTCTTCCCCGCTTCGGGCGCTTCGCTTTTGCTGCGTCCGGCAGCATGTGAAGTGGTACATGCTGCTTGATACGTGCGCTCAGGTGTTGAAGGGTCCTACCAACGTACCGGCTATCACAATTCCGGCACTCAAATTGGTAGACCAAGTGGCTCAATAGGTGGGATGGTAGGACATCCTTCCTCACCGTGAACGCATGTATCGTAGTGAACACAGGGATGAAGTGCGCCGCAAACACCTGAGCGCACGTATCAAGCAGCATGTACCACTTCACATGCTGCCGGACGCAGCAAAAGCGAAGCGCCCGAAGCGGGGAAGACCACGCAAGAGCCCGCTCCCTCTACCACCGACACAACCAGAGCAAGTCGAACACACGGTGCAGAGGAAGAGTGGTGGATCACTAAGCCAACCGAATGTGCCTTCTCCACCGTTGCCCTTGCCGCCACCGGAGCCACCACCAGTGCCGTTGGTGGCTGGGGTTTGGGAGGAGTCGGCAACAACAACAGTACCGCCAATCACAGACATTGAGCCCATTTCTTTGACACAGTATCCGGCTGTGCGGACACCGCAGCACCCTCCGGCGCTTGATCCGTGGGTCCAGAGACCACGGAGGTCGACCGCCAATTATTCAACCGAAATATATGCTAGGAATGGCCAAGGCCCACGCGGAGCATCGAAGGAGACCGGAAGCCGGGGGCAAAACGGAACACAATCTCGGGACGTAGATGAGGTAAAGACAGTGACACGGGACAGACGTAGGAAGGAGAACATGGATGGTATCAGACGACTGACTGGTGGTGAATATGAGTTGGGTGATGATGCGGCGGATGACGAGAATACAGATGACGACGAGGCGGATGACGGCGAGGATACAGATGACGACGAGGCGGGTGATGACGAGGCGGCGGATGAAGACGAGGCGGATGACGGTGAGACGGCTGGTGGTGATGGTGATAAAACGGACGAGGAGGAGTCAGGTGGCAGGGAAGGTGATGGAGCTGATGAGGGTGAAATTCGGAAGAAGTCAGCTGTGTATTTGCATTTGTTATCTCGTCCCGATTGTTTGAGTGTGTATGATGATTCCCACTTCTCTGTACTGTGTCGTGCCCGTTATGTCCAGCAGTTGAAGGTCCTTGAAGCTGTTTGTATTCGTACGCATAAGCCCGATTTGTGTAAGCAAAAAGAACATGTTTTAGCACTTAGGTTATTTTCGTGAGTTTGCACCCCGTGTTCATGAGTTGTTTCTGCACTGTTCATGCCCGTTTGTCACACTTACTCTTTATTTTAGTTCTCACTTTTTGTAAAACTTACCACAAGTTACCCGTCATGTGTCACACTTCTTTGGATTTTTAACCTTTGTTTTTCCCTTGATCTCTTTAGTTCCGTATTTCCACTGATGATCGGAACGTGAAAATCGATTTTGGAAACACACAAAACCAAACCTTGAACAAATTGTCATGTTGCGTGGTGATGTCTGCGGCATTCATACTTTTCATTGCTATTATTAAACTTTTATCTCCACGTAGATTATTTGTATGTACATTATAGATAAAATTAATGTTGAGATTAGGCAGCCAAAGAGCCGGCATGTGTCTAAAGTGAATGAGAGGCGTTTCTTCAACAGCTTGTAAGTCCTGTCACTGCCTAGTCAGTTGGGAGGCATCGTCTCTGACAGAGGATGGGCTGAGACTTCACGCGCCCTAGGTCAAGGATGGTTTGGGCAGCTGTCACACTGATGAAGACTCCTCATGGACGATGGCTGGATCAAACAGAAACTCGGTAACAAACTGTGCATCGCTTCCCAGTGGTGCCAGACGCAGTGGATTTGAGTTTCCCGGTGCTACACACAGCACGACACGATCACTGAAGTCCGGATACAGTCTGTACGTTGGGTACAGAGTCATCGTGTCAACAACACGTCTACGCCAAATAATCTCCTGCGTGCTAGTAGGGAGCTGGCCGTCTTCTAGGCCAACCAAGCCTACTTCAGTTCGCAAGCCGTCCTTGCCGTTGATGTACTGAATGCCGAGGAACTTTGAATTGTCTGAGATGATCCCAGGGACGGACGATTGCGGGTCGAAATGCTCCAGAATGATTCTCTCTTCTGGCTCTGCGTTGTTGGAGCCTTGGCGTTCGCTGAGCGTTGTTGGTCTGCTTGTGACGGAACCGATCGAGTGTACAACGAACCAGCGATCAGTCGGGCTTTGGTCAACTGTAAGAAGCACATGACAGTGGACACGGAAGAGTTCAGCGGTGAAAAACATTTGCCAGTAGCTGAAAGCTAACACGCCAAATGTACAAATACATCAGACTTTGTTGTATCTCTGGTGCTTCTGTATTATACATAACCAGTAGTACTCATGATTCAAGGCACACTATGTTCTATCAGGCACAAGACCATCCCTGGCATGCGACTACGGGGGAGGGGGGGGGGGGGGGGGCAATTCACATGAACATACTTCGAAGTGATACTGGATTTAAAACCTTTTAAGAATTGTTACATACAACGTATACACGCAGGCCGATACAGACTGACAAAGTAGGCGGAACTTACCAATGCGGGACGCACATATGGGCATGATGAGTTCCACGTCTTCGTCATCATCACTGCTAGCATTGCTACTGCTGGACGTACTGATGTTGTCGTCCGTGTACGCATTCCCAGCACAGCCTGTGCCAATCTCCACAAACTGAAATGTGCCATCGGCTAAGACGGCGTGTAGTTCAAATGCATCCATTTTCCAGAAGGATGACGCTTGGAACTTTGTGTAATTGGCGGATATACGAGGAATTTCTCACTGGTACGATGAAATGAAACAAGTCAACAAACAAAGGATAACAACCAAGCACTTCAATCTTATCGTTTATGCCTCAATATTGCCAAGCTCTCTTGTGCTAAAATTTTCTTTTGTACTAACTCAGTCGCCATCCTAGATCTTCCTTTATAGTCACCTACTGTGACTATTCGCAATACAGCCAGCGGCCAATTACTTGAAACATTGGGCTAGACTGTATTGAGGAGTTGTGGAAGCGAGCAGGGAAATACCGGGGAAGGACATGTCAATTATGTTAGTAACATTACGCAATTGCCGTAACGTCCCTCAGTCGGGATGCAAGTGACATTGTCAGGCAGCAGCAGTGCACAGAGAACAAACAATGAAACAGTACAGATAACCCGGCACGGTGGCTTGCTAATGCCAATGGTAGTTGATTGACATGGGATATCTGAGTCTGGTTGTAACAGCATGCCTATCGCCGCAGTATCGGAAGACCCCAGCAGTGCACAGGGATTTACCCTCCAAAGACAACTGCCGCCTGTGGTCTGCACATGAATCCTTGCGTGCCTTTCACACGTCAAGGACCATGTCATGTGCAGTGTCTACCCTTAGTTTATCCGTCATCTTTTCTTATTCTCAGCCTGGCCCGCTAGCTGGCCTGGCTGGCCTGGCCTGGCTATGGGCAATAATGCTTCAGCAGTGTCATTGGAAATGGCAGATGGTCCGTGGCGTGGACAAGCCATGACTTCACTACTCTGGCGTTAGGTAAACATATTGTTGTTGTTGATGCATTGAATTTGAAACATCAACTACTGTACTGTAAATACTAAATACACTCTTTAGTACTTGAAACAGTACATGTAGTCAGGTGGTCCGGACTGCACCGCACGGTTGTAGTTGATAGCTGTAATTGTGAATCTACGCGCAAAGTCGGATCGTACGTGTTTTCAACTCGTAGGCTGTAGTTTATGTAGAGACGATACGTGTGCACAACTCGTATGTTTGACGTTAGGTAGAGACCACGCTTGTTCACAACTCGAAGGGTATCGTGTCTACGGGAGTACGGGTATTATACACGTGCGTGTCTACGGGAGTACGGGTATTATACTCGTACGTTCAGTACATGTACAGCGACGTGAATAACAGTACAATCATACATGTACATTGTAACTCGTGTGTTTAGTACTTGTGTGTAGTATGTAGGAGCAATGCGTGTTCCCAACTCGTGTGTCATGCATTATGTAATGTAGTGAAGATCACATGTTCACACATTCCCCTGCCAATTACATGTATGCATCGATCGGTTACGCCACCTTTCTATTTTTGTTGCTCTGAGCATTGCAACTGCTTGACTACCTACCAAGGGCCAACACTCACTCCCTCTACTGGCACTAGTGAATAAGACCATAGTATTCTGCAACATATACATGATTGTATTGTGTGCTCACTGAACTTTTGTTCGTACACTATGAACAGTATGATTATGATGTTTGTTGGGACAATACGTGCTCACAACTCGTGGGATATAGTGTCGGTAGGGGGCGATGCATCTGATTTTGCGATGTAAAAGTACAACTTCAAATCGAACAGTAACATCAAAATGAGGACGTGTGATATCACCCGGCAGCTGTCACCGCTGAGTCATTGTATCATCTTAGTCCTACATGTACATCATGGCAGTTCATGGCGTTGTCGTAAGACTGTGTCTTGACAGAACCCCAGCCTGGTACAGGTCGTCCCTCGTTAATACATAATCTCTGGGACTTGACAAATGTTATGTATTAACGGGGTTTATGTACTAAACGAAAGTGTACATAACTTGCTTGTGTACCAGAATATTTCACCTTTTTCAACTTTTCTGAATGTTTGTTGCTACCATGACTAAACACTGAGATAATCTTGATTCCCTCGATATAACATAAAAATTATGTTATAACAGTCACAGTCAGCGACGATTCTACAGTTTACATGGTACATGCCCAGTCTTGCCTGTACAGTCACTCGGAAAACACAGAGCTTTGTAGGTTGTCATGTGCGCTCTGATTTCTGAGCCAATTGCGTCCACAAGTAGAAACTAGAACACGATGTGCCTCCACTGGAAGGCCAAAAGACCAACAAATTATGTACTATTGAGGTAGGTGGCATGCGGGTACGGAGAAATGTTATGTACTAACGGGGTTTATGTACTAACCGACAAAATTTGTATGGAAGTGACCACGTTTCGTCCGGGACTTGAGATTTCTTATGTACTAACGGGGTTTATGTACTAACCGGACTCGTATTAACGGGGGACGACCTGTACAGGGATACAGGGATACAGGGGTGCGGCAATCACAGGTTTACTTAGTCAGTGGCAGGGGTAACGCCCACATCAATAAGGCTAAAATAGAACACCCAGTGTGGGGTAAAAGGATATCACACTGGCCCAACCCCATGTCGGCACGCTCTGACTGGCAGCCAGTGACTTCGCTACTTCGTGTGTACTTCGAGTATGGCTTTCATGCACACTTTGTACATGCATGTAATATAATTATAAAAGCTACAGCCTTATGAATTATTATAGGCTGGGGACTCAGTGGGGAGGATAGGAGGGAGGTTGTTGAGCTCATTAGAAGGATGCAGGGCATTCACGCGTGAAAGAACGTTGAACTAAGGATAGCCAAATATGGTGATAACTACACGTACATGTACATGCATAGGTATTTATGTCCAGTTTACTCCAGTAGCATAGTGGTGGGTGTGCTATGAGTTAGACAACTGTCTCATACGTGCGTGCATTGAGCAATAACTGAGACATACCGCATGTTTGATAGGTGTCATGTCATGTACATGTATTTGTTTTGTATTGTACTCAGTATTTTATTATTTTTACTTGGGCATTCCCAACAGACCCCAAACTACTGTCTTCTTATAGAGCTGTGTGCATTGATCAACATACTGTAACAGCACCCGAGACATGTCCTTGATACGTGCCGGATACGTACCGGATACGTGTGCGAGTGCATTACATGTATTTTGATGAACAGTTCAACACCCGTACCCGAGACAGGGTACGTGTACGCGTGTGATACTTTGAAGTACATGTGTACACCAATACTGCAATAGGCAATACGAATACCTGAGACATACAATCATGTACATGTACATGTAGTAGTAAGTTTGACACGCAGCACATGATTGTGCTGCCATTGATCACTACAGTTGCAATCTGTGCTCTACATGTATGTCCTATTCGTATCAGGTGCATGTGTATTACGGGTTACCGTATGTCATCATGTATTGAATATGTCTGACTGTGTAGGAGTCAATGATTATGTCGGTGTTAAGTGTCCGTGATAATGGTAGTGGATTTGACAAAAAACAGTAAAGTAAATTAGCGTATCCGTTCCTGAAGGGTTTGACAGCTACCATTATTATTTGAACTCGGATGACTGTATAAGATCTGGTTACGTTGGTGGACAGTTTGTCATAACTTGTAACATTTTGTCCTTTTCCTTTCTTCATCATAACCATTATTATTTGTTGACGTTTGTTGTTTTCTGTTGCACGTTCCGCAGCTGTTATAGTTCCCCCTCTTCCCGCTAGTGCTCCATCTCTGAAGTTACTTCCGTCGTTGTACATGTCATTTCTCTCCTTATCGTCTCGTCCATTCATTTCGTATTCTTGCGTAACTGCTGGTGGTTTGGGATTGCTGGTGTTACGTCGTCACTTCCAATAAAATATTATTGCGACCGAGCTTTCGGCATGCAGTATACCGCTTCATTATTGTTATTCTCCTCCCGTCGCCACCATACGCTCTTTGCCAAACCAATGCACGAAGCACAAACACACGACGTACATACGAGTACACGTTACGTCCTGTCAAGTGTATGCTGATCTGCAGTCTGGTTTATACCACAGCAACATACATGCACAAGGCAGCAAACCAACATCCTTGCCCAAAGCTTTTTTTACATAATTATAATTATTTTATTCGTAAAGAGAAATGGAGTGAGAAGAAACAACACCTATGAAAATGATAATCCTAGCACTAAGGTAATAACAGGAAAAACTGCGAAAGCACTTAACGAACTTGTAAGGACTACTAGTATACTGTGACACAAGATATGACACCATGGCCAACCAGAGCCAAACCGACAGAACAAGCTGCCACTAAAACAATTTCAAACGAATAATGCTGTCCTTCTGGACAGAATCAGAATTCTGTTTTGTGCCGTGCTCGTCATGGTTATAAGTTGCAGTTGAGTGTGTTAGAAGCTGTTTGTCAACGTATTCATAAGCCTAATCTGTGTGTCCAGAAGGACAGCATTATTCGTTTGAAATTGTTTTAGTGGCAGCTTGTTCTGTCGGTTTGGCTCTGGTTGGCCATGGTGTCATATCTTGTGTCACAGTATACTAGTAGTCCTTACAAGTTCGTTAAGTGCTTTCGCAGTTTTTCCTGTTATTACCTTAGTGCTAGGATTATCATTTTCATAGGTGTTGTTTCTTCTCACTCCATTTCTCTTTATTAGTATCTTTCTGGATTATTTTATTCGTGTTCGATATTGAATTTTTTACAATTTTTTTATTCTATTTCTCATTTTTCATTCGTGTTGGGTTTACCTATTCACTGTACTGTTACACACGGTGATGATTGTGCTTTTCTTTGCCCATAAAAGAGGCCTTTCCGCGTAACGTATAACGTGTTGTTCAACGTACATACAAGTACACGTTACTTCCTGTCAAGTGTATGCTGAAGTGGAGTCTGGTGTATACCACAAACAACTTACATGTAAGCAAACCAAGGTCCTTAGGCTGTACTCACACTACTTGAAAGTTTGACGCGAATGTCGCGTTCAAAACTAGACAAAAGTACTTGAAAAAGCCTTTCCAAGCACACTGCACTCCAGTGACGACTTGAAACATTTTTGTCAGCAAATTACCATGGAGAAACATGATTGTCATGTGGTAGTTTTGCAAATCCCGAGGCTGCGTTGCTTCAATTTTTTTCCGCTCGATGAACTTATTTGAAATTTTCAGTTCATGAGAAAAATAGAAACAGTTATATCTTGCTTGGATCGTGGAGTTCATTCGCCATGCCTCGCGAAGAAGTAGCACATCGTCGACGTCGACGGATGAAGAGGTTTCTCTCCACAGCTCGATGAGCTTCTTCTCCAAGTCGTCAGAAAACACTACGCGAGGCATGATGTCGGTACAAAAGCAATCGTACAAAAGAAATGCGACAGAAACGGCAATCAAAACAACGGGAAGCTACTGGAAGAAAGAAGACGGAAAATACTCGGAAAAACACCACAGAATTCAGAAATGACAGGCAAAAAAAGGAAACTACAAGTATTATGTGCAGGAGCAGTACGACCACGGGGAAACAAAGCATGAAAAATATTCTGGAGCCTTTCAACGTACAATAGTACTCCGGCCCGGTCCTGACCTCACACAGCTTTCCAAACGGCTTGAAAGCAAAAAACCTCGTAGAAGAGGGTTCCGTTTCCGCTGAAACCTTTCGAGCGGCTTTCAAGGGCTTTTTTCATTTTCGCAACCGTCACCGTGGCAACATTCACACGTAAGTCACTTGTACGCGGTTTTTCAAGTAGTGTGAGTACAGCCTTAGCTAACGTATGACGTATAACATATAACGTATAACGTGTTCTCCAATGGCATCATGGCATCATGAAATCAGTGCTGCAGCCACAAGTCACTACAGAAGTCACACACGATGCAGATAAAGACTTTGTTTTCCTCATGACCAGCCAGCTGTTACATCTAGTGGCGCCATTGATCTCGAATTATTGGTGATGCCATTGAACTACAATTACTACCGGCGCCGTTAGAATTACTTACCTGCTGTTGGTGCATATGCCGGTGAAGGTGTAGTGTCGTGTTGTCAATGATGTGTCCGCTCATGATAGTCAGCTGAGTAACACCTGACAGACATCTATCAGAAGTTATACACTGGAAAATCTTGTGCAATCGCAGTTTGCTAACGCCATCCGTCACCTCTTCATCACCATCGCCTGTTCTCCATGTATTCTAAGCTCAGAACAGTGAAAACACGTGACTGTCGCCAGCACTCCGATAAGGACTCGCGTAAATCCTCTGTCCCTCAATCTACTGATAACAATACTGAAGACCCACAGTCATCGTCTTATCAGGATGCAGTACCTTTTTAGATTGGTCCACAACCAATGACTACAGCACAAGCTCAGTTGACACTCAGTTGACACAATCATGTTTTAGAACTCCTGCGCACGCGCAGTCCAGTATCATGCGTGTAGTGCAGTCTTCAACTCTAATACGTCATCAGTATGCCACGTCCAGGTTCATCACTGCTCACTGCTCCCATTGTGTAACTAATCAAGGGAGGCATCCACACTCTCGGAGATGCGTTGGATGTTGTACGGAAGAGAAAGAACCAATCGAGGCCATCCAATCGAAGAGGACAGTCGGATGCACTGTCGCCTGTCATCGCGGACTCTTCGCCAACTGTTGTCCGGGCGATTGACCTGGCCAGGGAGAGAGGAGCTTCCAGTTGCCTCACCTGCCCACACCAGCCTCACAGTCTGCATTAACATTTCACTGCTAGCCCCTGGCTTCAACAACCACATAACAGTTACTCTGCACATAGCCTCCTGTCTAAAACAACACCGCTAGCCCCCACATTCTCACACAGCTTTTCATACAGCGCTACAAGACCCACCCTCTCCTGGCATATATACCGGCATTGTCGGTACCTCATCCTCATGTTGCCTGATGATTGCGAGAGCATGAAACTTACTTGAAGTAGCAGCAAACAAGCCTTGATTGTCCTTGTTGTTCTGTTCTGTATTACGCTCTATCTCCGCAGCTATTGCTGTTTAGCATTTCTTTATAGAACTTTATTGTTAGAAAGGTTTGCTCCCCACACCGGAGCTCGCGCTATTCCGCCGACTTTACTTGACACTTGACTGACTCACGACTGCCATCCAGAGCGAGAGAGTTTGGAGGTGACAGCGTTGCGAATGACCGAGGGTCCTCGACGTCTGTCTCACCGTCCAGGAGCGACACTGACTCACGCTGCTATCTGGTGTTCACGAGGTGTTTATCGCGCTGGAAGCGGAGCGTCTCTGTAAGTTTGTATCCCTGGTGATGTTCGTGCCTGGAGAGCACTATATAAGTGGTGCTCTTCAGGCACAATCTTCCTCAGCCTACTCAAGCTCAACTGATGAGGGGTGAATTCCCCGAAACACTGTGTATTGAGCAGGGAGTGGTGCTTTCTTGCAGGCTTGCCGAGTCGAAGGTTCGATGGACTTCTCGTGTGCTCTGGATGGCAGTCGTGAGTCAGTCAAGTGTCAAGTAAATTCGGCGGAATAGCGCGAGCTCCGGTGTGGGGAGCAAACCTTTCTTACAAATCATCGCCGAAGTCGCAACCACTACTTCGACCTTTATTGTTCATATGTATTTGTGCAGGCGTTGTGGCCGGATACCTCACTATAATAATTATCATGACGTGACAGGTACATGTACGTCTACGTAACAAAAAACCAATAGCGTGCATGCGAGTAGTATTTCACAGAAAGCCTCCTCGGGAACAGGACATTATGTTTAACAAACTGACATTTTTCCACAGAATCGGTAACACGGGATTCGTGTCAGTGATTGCACTTTTACAGAGGCACAGCCCAGCTCAAAGTTACCATGTACATGTACCCGTACATGCATTCCATTATTGAGCAGGGAGTCGTCAGTCACTTCTTGAAGGAGTGCGGAGTAGGTTTGATGATCTTTACATTGTAAATTCCATCAAACCTTCCACTCCGCATTCCTTTTTAAAAGGCTTTAGTCTGCGCGAGCTCAACTGATGAGAGCTCACTGACACCCCGAAACACCCTGAATTGAGCAGGGATCTAGGGAGTGGTGCTTTCTGCCAGGCTTTCCGAGTGGAAGGTTCGATAGACTTCTCATGTGCTCTGAATGGCAGTGGGGAGTGACATCAAAAAGTAATCTTTATACTAACCAAGTAGACCAAAGAGAGTCAAGCGAGAGCTCCGAAGCAGTAGGGAGCATGCAGCACACACTTGCACTTTATGCTCCTTCCTGAAAAAAGCACACGTTCGAGAAACACAGCGCGTACCGCGCCTTCACCGGTCTAAAGCGACTAAATCACAAGGGCGGTAATCCCCGGCCCCTGGCCCCTATCCTACTCCTAGTACTACTGCCAGTACCGGAGACTAGAGAATTTTAGCCGGGTCTCCAAGTTAGTTGCGCTATTGCAAAATGATCTGCTTTGATAGTAGTGACTTCTAAATGCCTGGGTTTGACTTTGGGTTTTTCTTCAATCATCTTTCCGAGCACTGAAGACTGGAGTCCTAGGCCCTAGGCTAGCCTAGAGCCTAGATATCTAGCCCTGGGCCGTCTGGAGACGACTGATACTACTACGTTTCAAAGTACATTGTACATCTGTTAGGTATACTAGTAATAGACTCTGCAATCATGATCGTTGTAGACGCACCTGCCGGTGAATATCGACCTACGTTACAAGTAGGAATGGTCTGGAATTTAGCCGGCTTTCTTTTAATTGCCCTATGGCAAATAATGATCTGCTTTGATAGTACACTACATCAAATACTAGTGACTTCTGTTTGACTTTGGATTTGTCTTCAATCATCTTTCCCAACACATTAATTCATTATCATGGATTTTTCATTTTCAATGAAGTTACAGACTCAGTTCTTTACTGTAGACCAGGTAGACCAGGGAGTCATAGACTTAGTAAATTTTATACGACTCCCTGATGTACTACTACTAGCCTGTAGACTCTACGTATCTACATCATACATGACAGTACTTGAGCGAGGACCTGGTGCAGTACTACTACTAGCGAGTACTAGTTGAGTACTAGTGTACGGTAGACTCCTGCACGTCAACTCACTGTCATGACTACAGTCGTCTTGCTAGGCTGGCGCGCTAACAAGACGCGCACTGCATGCAGGGCTCTACACTACTAGACTACAGTTTAGACTCGAGCGCAGACCGGTCGACCAGCAGCTCATACTACTATTAGTATTAGTATTACTAGCTCTGGCATGGCAATAGGAACCTGAAAAATAATGTTCGTAGGACTCACGGATGAATGTCAAGAATGATTACGATCAGACGTATTTTTTTACCGCCTTGGCCTAGGCCTAGCCTGTCGCTCAATTTTTTCTGTCGTTCAATCAATCATTGCCGGCCTGGCATTGCCATTGCTGGCATTGGGACCTAGCACCTGTGTAGTACGTACGTGCAAGCGTTCATTTGAATCATTTTCGATTCTCCTCAGATTGCAGCTCGTTCGTGAGTTTGGTCGCTTTCCCAGCGCTCAGTTCTATCTGCTCCCATTCTCAGCGTGTGTAGCATTGCTGAGCTCTGTGGCGGCGGCTTCTTCCCGTCGTAATGCCGGTGTGCTTAACAGCTGTAGTTTAGAAATATGTGCTTCAGTGGCTAGGTTCGCACATTTGAACAGTGGTATCACATGGTACCTACTGTGTCTGGAAAGAAAGAATTAGAAATTTGGTGTTAGCAGAGGACTACACACTCCCCGCACAATACAATAGTAGCACCAGAGTTTCCACTGGTGTTCGGTGCAGTTTGTGCGTGCAGAGGTGTTCGACCACTGAACTGACGGCGGGAGGTTGAACAAGGTACGATCACTTTATTTTATATCACGGTTAGTGTTCTAGCATGTAAGTGGTTGTGTGTGTTTGTGTGAGGGTGAGGGTGAGGGCGAGGGTGAGGGTGAGGGTGAATGAAAGCAGAGCTACAAGAATGAGAAAGAGAAGAAAGACGTGTGTGCCCATAATCGTTGGAAATTGAACCCGCAACCTCTCGATTCGAAATCGACTGCACATACCACTGCACCATATCGGAGGGTGTATGTGCGTGTGTATGTGTGTCTATGTGTGCGTGTATGTGTGTGTGTGCACGCTTATCCAGACATTAGTGGTACTGCTTGTGATCAAACTCCCGTTTTCTGGTCCCTTTTGAAAGGGGTGACACTTGCCTATGTAGGGGGTAATGCTGCTAGTAGTGAAAGTAGCAGTGTACATGCATGTGTGCACGTGTGGGTGCACGTGTGTGGGTGCACGCGTGTGGGTGCACGCGTGTGTGTGTGCACGTGAGTGTGCACGTGTGTGTGTGCACGTGTGTGTGTGTGCACGTGTCTGTGTGGGGGGGGGGGGGGCATTACATTTCCTTAGTGCAATTTTCTTTCTGTCCTGTCTTACTGCAGGCTTCATATCAAGTAGGTACTCCGTTTCACTTCACAAGAGGTTTGTGCTCCGCTGTGTAACACTCAATCATCATGAGTTATCGTCCTCCGACCGGGAGTCGTAAGCCCCCGGGTACAGCTGGTCGGGGTCGACTGGGCATGGGTTCCCGGGCAGGACCTGGTACACGGGCAGGCGGTGGCGAGGCGGGGCAGATAGCCAACGCCATTGCGTCGCAGCTGCACGTTTCCGAGCGGCCGATTACACAGCACGGCGTCGCTGGTATGAAGACTGGGGTGAGAGGACCGGAGAGAGGAGTGTACGACAAGTCATACTACCTCGGTATGCTACGCAACAAGATCACTGAACTACGCCAGGAGACTAGGAAAATGCAAGCCGATGTTGACGCCCACAACACCGACCAGTCGACATACATGGCAGCTACAAAGCAAGCAGAGCAGATCGCCATCGAGCTGAGAGAGGAACAGGGCGCACTCACTGACTTTAACCTGATCGTGGAGGTGCTCAACACAACCTCCGATATGAGCGATATCGGTCGACAGACGTCCATGCTCAAGGCCAACAATGACCGGGAGGCTATGGAGCTGGAGTCTTTGTTCTTTGAGAAGTCGCGCAAAGAGCAACAGGTAAATTTTTGCAAGATTTGAACTTTCAACGCACACAGCCTCACCGAGTCCTTGGCTACACAAAAATAACAAGAAAACCTCTCAAATTCTTTCCAAAAAACTTCAAATACTTTCACAAATTCAACCAGGAGGTCATCTCCAGGGACACATTCTGCATGTATGCTAATTGTCAAAATGATTATACACTCAAACCTGGCTTATCCGGTCTCTTTTATACGGATCACTCGCCATCCGGAAGAAATCGCTGGTTACCGATTTGCAGCATATGCCCTGCGTACATACAGTAGGTGTGTTGGATTATCCGGCTCCCTCGCCTATCCGGATATTTTTTGTGGAAAACGGATGTGTGCGGTTAAGCGAGATCTAACTGTAATGAAACATGATCATAGTCTGTTCTCCATGACTCATGCTGGTTGACGTGGCTGGATAGTTGGGAGGTTGTTAACATTTTCTTGGATGTCTAAAGCAAACACAGGGGGAATCCAGAGTATCCCCGCCGGTATAATTTTTGTTGGCAGCTAAGCCATGTTGAACTCAAGTAGAACACCGGAGGCATCCCATCACATCCCGGGATATCGTATCAGAAGATCAATGTGCATGTGCGGACACGGATGTGTTTGCATATGGGTGTCGTCATGTCTGTGCATACGGATGCCGCAATGTCCGTGCATGTGTGTTGGGTGAAGTCCGGCCATGTTGTGTGTGTGTCTGTGTGTGTGTGTGTGTGTGTGTGTGGGTGCGTGCGTGCGTGCGTGCGTGCGTGTGTGTTTCCCTTTGCGCTGCTACAGATATCGGAACTCGAACACGAGATAGAAGTGGAGAAAACAACGGCACACAACATTGTCAGCTCTATGAGTGAAGAAATGAGAGACACGTATCAAAGCTTGCAGAGAACCAACAAGAAACAGATGGAACTGTGAGTTATTCTGCTTGCTATTCCCTTATTCTTAACATCCTTACAGAGAAAGATAGACAATGAAACCTGTCAAGGCGACCACTGGGATAAGGCGCTCACCTGACCCAGAAGCCCACTACAACCAGGAACAAGGGATGCGATGTCCAGTCAAATTGCACTGGATAAGGAGACTACCTGGCTACAGAGACCACACTTTTCCGGTCCCTTGAGCAGTTGTTTTAGACAGCTTTCACTGTAATCCGTATTCTGAACTCTCTCACCGAGCAAGATAGAATTCTTATTCTGAACTCTCACAAAGCAAGTTATAATGGGAGGCACTCGTACCGTTGGTCTGTACCCCGCCCTCAATATGTGGCCACATCCGTTCACATCGAGCATACACTTTCAATTACCGAGCTCCACCTGACTGGCTGTCGGTGATATCCTTGCTCTAGGCTTGACTGGTTGTTGATATTGTCCCCTGGTGTAGGCTTGAACAGCAACAACGTGAAGTCGATGACCTACATACTGCCATTGCAGTTCTCAATGAAGAGCTGGATCAGTACCCACAGAAGAGAAGGGCAGCCAAGTTACACCAGCAAATTATCGAGGTAAGGTATGAACCAGGAATCAGGGGGGGGGGGGGGGGGAGAGGAGCGGCTGGGAGTCACAGTCACAGCTTCAAGCTGAAGCAGTGAAAAGCAAGGTGTTGTAGGGAGTTATAGCAGGTTCCTAGTTTCGTATTAAGCACTTTTGGGCGTCATTATATTCTTATTATTATTATTATTTCGCACCAAGCTATTTTTTTTGTGGTATTCTCTAGCTTCAGTTTGTTGTGCAGTTGTTGTTGTGCACCCCCCCCCCATTTTTGATGCCTAGTTGCAACGCTGACTCTGAGACCTCTTTTCGGTTGGGTTGCTCCCAGCACATCGGCACGTCGTCCCTACATCCCCTATGTTTTGTCCTTTTCCTCGTTTCTTTTTGTTCTCCACCTGTTTGCCAGTAGGACTGTGTTAATAGTGAAGGAACAAAAGATGAAACAGTACTTTTCCAGTAGCAGTGTGAAGCAAGGATGAAGAGCACGGTGTCTTTAACAGCTTGTAGCAGGGAGTTGTAGCATGGAGCAGCAGGGGTAGCATGAATCTGTAGCAGTGAGGAGTAAGGATGAGGAGCAGGAATTTTGAGCAAGTTGTCACAGCAGAAAGAAGCGGAGAGTTGTAGCAGCATGTACCAGAGAGTTGTAGCAGAGAAACGGGCAGCGATTTATAGCAGGGAAATGCAGGGAGTTATATATATATGTAGGACTCAGTATAGAGTCCATGCACTATATGATGTCCAGCACCCTATATAGAGTCCATTGGTCCAAAATCCACTATACAGAGTCCAGGAGTCCACTCAGTTTTGATCAGCTTCATCCTGCCGCGCAATCCCCTATAAGGAGTACACTTTTTCTACAAGTCCCCTATTCACAGTCCAGGAGTCCAGTTTATCCAGTCGCGCCGTCCTGTGTGTTGTGCCCGAAAGAGAACAAACACATTTTCAGTTTTGCTTGCCTCGTGGCAGCGCATTCCTTTCTCCACTTCAGCCATGGCTGCCAATTCTGCTGTGCAGTTGCTGACAGTAATCTGTCTCGAGGTAACCAAGGAGGATAAGGAGACGTTCAAAATCAAATCTGGAAAGCGTCTTGTGGTTCTCTGAAGACGTTTCATCAGTGCGCGGGATGAAAGCAGAAATTGCAGAACGAGAAAAGTTCAGCACAGTTCAAATCTGACGAGTCAGGTACACTGACGCTCTCTTTCGTTCGACGCCACAAGGATCCCCTGTTTGGCTGGCCATTGCTGCCAGTAAGACGTTTGAACGGTTTCATCAGAGCGAGGGATGAAAGCAGAAAGCGGAGAAAGAGAAAAGTTCAGCACAGTTGCAATCTGACGAGTCAGATACACTGACACTCTCTTTCGTTCGACGCCACAAGGATACCCCTGTTTGACTGGACAAGAGCTGCCTGTACCACCGTGTCAAAAGGCTGTCCAACTACATGGCAGGACGATGACTGAGGTAAGGAAGCTTTTACTCGTTTCGATTGGTCTGCTGTTCTGTCGTTATGCTTGAATTTTTTTTCCATTTTCAAGGAGCGTATCGCGTTTGTTTGATGTTGCTTGAATGAATGCCCTAAAAGTAATCAACCACTTCGTAATAGTCCTCAAGGACTGCAAGGACTTTGCATCAATCGTATTATGATCGTCTAGCTATCATCAATTATTATTTTATTTCATGAGAAATGTATTTTTATCCCTGTGATAATTATGTGAACTCCACGACACTCTTCCTGTAGTATGATGTCAAATACAATGGGATCCACAAACGCAGAGCCAGTGTACTAGTAGTAGTAGTAGGACTAGGAGGATTGCTTGTATGCCAATGACAAGAAAAAGCTTCTCAAGCTAATACTCGTATTCCCTGAAGTAACCGTTTTGATGTCACGAACATGACATTGTGTCAGTGAAACTGTCTCGTGACAACAAATCATTGCATTTCCATCTTGGGGAAGACCGTGACTGAAAGCAACGCTGTACAGATTGTTCAAATCATCTCATTTGAATTTAGTCGCAGTGAAGTGAAACACTGTGTACACTACATGTATGTTGGTGTGTCCGTGCGTCTTGAGTGTGCACAAACGATCTTATTCCTCATATTACTAATAGATTATTGTCCCCACCGTCACCTGTTCACAGGTCTTTGAGTGGGTTGATTTTCATTGAGCATCACATTCGTTGAGAACTTGGTAGTTGTGTGCTCCAATGCGTCATTACGGTAATAAGCATATCCTTGTGCTATCTATTTGTTGCAGGTGTGCTGATCTTCAGAAGCTTGCGGAACTGAGTGCTGCTGAAAATTTGCATGGCCATGAGCAATGGTGAAGCTTGCTATTGCACTCTCAGCATGTGCTAGTATTATGCTGACCACTGCACTATGTTACTCTCTTACACTACTACGTGTATGTAAACGTGCGTGTACCCGTCCCCGTGTGCATTCATTTCGTATAATTATTTGTTATCCATCTTGACTTTACATGTAAATGGGTGGACGTTTGCATGGCTGTTGGAGTTGCGTGTGTATTGTGTCTCTACTCTTTTCTTGGTGTTTTCTTGGCGTTGTATAAGTTTGTGTGTGTGTGTGTGTGTGCGCGCGCGCACAATAATTTGAAAACAAATAATTAATCCTGGGCTCTCCATTATTCTCTTTCGATTCTTGGTTTTTTCTAGGTATTTTCTTGGCGTTGTGTGGGTGTGTGCATGTGTGTGTGTGCGTGCACAATAATTTGGCAACACTACATGATTGAGATATTGTAATTTGCAGCGTCTGCGAAGAGACCACTTGATTTGAGGATGGTGTTTGTAGGGTTTTTCATGTAATGAAGTGGCTGCAGTGGCGCCTCAATACATATTTTTTATATCTTGAGAAGTGAATGATGTATAGGATTAAAGGGAGAGGCCGTTTTCTGGTTAATATTCACTGCTTACAGCAGATCCTATGTCTATTTTCGAACTCGACAGGGGATGCGTAATTGGCTGGACTTTATACAGGGGGTGTCGTCCACATAAAGACTCTTTATAGTTGATTTCAAAGTTTGGACTCCGTACAGTTGGTTTTGGACCAATGGACTCTATATAGGGGTGAAGCCAATTGGCTGGACTCTATACAGTCCATCGAAACTTTGAGCTCACAGTTGATTCCAAGTTTGGACTCTGTACAGTGGATTTTGGACCAATGGACTCTATATAGGGGTTGGACATCATATAGGGGCTGGACGCTCTACTGAGTCCAACATATATATATATATAGTGTGTGTGTGTGTGTGTGTGTGTGTGTGTGTTGTTTTTTTCCCTGTGTGTATGTATGTGTGTGTATGTGTGTGTGTGTGTGTGTATGTATGTATGTATGTGTGTGTGTGTGTGTGTTTGTATGTGTGTGTGTTTGTTTCCCTGTGTGTATGACTATGTAAACATGCGTTGTGCCAGGCGGAGACAGCCAAAAGAGCGGCAACACAAGAGCTTGAACAATCCGTCAAAGAATCACCGGATGAAGAGAGAGTGCGCCTATTGGAACAGGTACAGCCAGCGAACATTCTCTACTAAAATGATGTTGAAATCTAAAAATACCTCTTGTTCTGGACAAATCAAATAATATTATATGTTCAGTCGAACCTCTTTAGGACGAACACCAAGGGACCGACGGTATTTGTCCGCAATAACGGGAGTTCTTCTTATCCGTATATCTTACCCAGTGAATACAAAGTGATGAATCCAATAGCGCTTGGAATTCTAGTTCTTCTTAAGCGAAAGTTTGTCTTATCAGTGTTCTTCTCAACGAGGCTTCACTGTATATAAATGTACTTCCTCCGTTAACAAAAACTTCGTGATGGATTTTGATGGATATGAAAACGCTTAGAACAGGTCAAGAACAGTTGGTATCGCCTGCAAATTACTGGACGACGGTGATTCAGCCTATGCACAGCGCTTTTACAAGAGAAATGTTGGCAGAATGAGCAGAGAGTTCAGTTTGCGTTGCTTTCGCTCGATTCATTTTTGACCTGCGTCGCAGTCGTCATCTGCTGCACGCGAGTCGTCATCTGCTGTACGCGAGTCGTCATCTCTGTCGAGTCGTTTGTGCAGCTCGTTTCAGCCTTGCCTCGGCTGCTTTGATCACACTCCGCTTGATGTCGCCACCGTTCAAGTAAGTTTGCTTTCAAGCTGCGTGATCCGCCGCGATGGCGATTACTCGTTTCCACCAGGGAGTCGTGAAAATTATTTTACAACTCCCTGGTTTCATCTTCGCTCTCCAGAACTCCGCGAAACGAGGAGTAAAGGCACAGCTAAACTGATTCCAATTTCTCTAATGGATACCAGCACTGAACGGCAGCGGCTAGCAAGTCCAGTCGACTTTCTTTAGCCACAAGACGCGCATCTGACTGCAGACTTCCGAAAGAATGCATGGTCATCAGCATTCGAATCTGGACTTTGCGCAGGTTGAACAGGAACTAACGTGTTACTTCAGTTCAGAATTGTTTTCATTGAGCCGTGCGATCGGAGCAGCACCTTGTTCACTCGCTCATTGTGTGGGCTCGCTGCTCCGTTTTATCGCTCTCTATCACTTTCCAACGTACTCAGTGCCAAAGTGGTAGAGAGGCCAAGCATCGCAATATCCCCTCGGAGAAGTGGCATTTCAGTTTCGCTCGCCATGACTGTCATCACCTATGTTTCCACAGCGCAACCATCGATTCCGCTCGGCTTGTTGTAAAAGGTCGCTTTCCTTGCATCGTACCTCTGTCATGGCATGCCAGGGAAGGCCAAGAAAGTGATTGTGACTCATTTCACGGCAGTTTGTGCCCAAATCAGCCCCTCAAAATTCCATCACGAAGTTTTTGTTAACGGAGGAAGTATATCTTTAAAATGGCAATGAAGAAAGCAAATTGTGCACTCATAAAAAATATGTAAAAGATAAAGTTAATGTACTAATTTCGAAAACATTTTCGTGTTTCCAAAAAGTTTTCATTGCCATTTTACGCTTACTGTCTCCTCGACGACTGTTTACATATGTATATCTTTGTTAGACAACCTACTGGTGCCTAAGATTCACCATATCCACAAATCAAATAGAAACTGAGTCATACCTGACACACCATGCACACGCACATGTAACGTTAAAACAATGATGCTGTCAGTGTTGGTGGTGGGGTGGTATCGAAGGTGGTGTTGTTGGTGTTGGTGGTGTTGGTTGTGGGGTTGTTGATGGAGATGTTGGCAGGGTTAGTGGTGGCGATTGCGTTGGTGGTGCTGGTGCTGCTGTTGATGGTGGGGTTGGTGGTGGGGTTGTTCTTGTTGGTGGTAGTGATGGTGTCAGCGTTTATGCAAGCACATTGCTCATGTATAGTCAGCGTAGTCGGTCACCACTCCAGTCATGTCCATCATACCTACTGTAGAGTCAAAGTATGCAGAATGGCGACTGTGAGATTTGCCGGTGGTACATGGTCACCACACCACAGATATGGTCGGGTACATGGTCACCACACCACATAATTATGTGCTCTGGTACATGGTCACTACAGATGTACTCTGGTACTTGGTCACAACACCACAGACAGATGTGTGCGGTACGCCCCTGTGGTGGTTGTGATGGTGGTGAAATTTTTGTTGTGCTGTTGTTGTTGATGTTGGTGGTTATGCTTGATTGCAGGTACGCACAGATAACCGAGAACTCGCAGGAATGGAGAAACTCGTGTCCGAACTGGAGGAGAAGACATTTGTCCTGCAGGAGGAATTGCAGGAGATTGATAGTCAGTTTGACGAAGAGCTGGATGCCAAGCTGGCGCAATACAAGGTTAGAATTAGCAACAGTCCACAGCTGCTCCAGTCATTGTACAGTAGAACCTGTAACTAAAGGCTGTCTTGACATGCCACGAGGTGCAGAAATAAATAAATAAATAAAATAAATAAAGACCACCGTGACTAGCGACCAGCCTGGTACTACAGTAAAACCTGTAACTAAAGACCACCGTGACTAGCGACCAGCCTGGTACTACAGTAAAACCTGTAACTAAAGACCACCGTGACTAGCGACCAGCCTGGTACTACAGTAAAACCTGTAACTAAAGCGACCAGCCTGGTATCACAGACCACTTTGTCAGGCACGGACGGTCTCACATTCCATAATATATGGTTGTGCGGTGCAAACCTCTATCTAAGGACCACTTGCCACTAAAGACCGCTTTCCCTGTCCCCCCAGGGATGGTCGTTAGTCACAGGTTTTACTCTACTTGTTGGGCTCTTTTCTAATACTACGTATAGCACTTTGCCTCTCCTTCAGTACTATACCAGTGTAGCTCCCTACGGGGGGGGGGGGGGGGGAATTCCCCGAAACACTGTGTACTGAGCAGGTGGTGGTGCTTTCTTGCAGGTTTGCCGAGTGGAAGGTTTGAACTTCTCGTGTGCTCTGGATGGCAGTCGTGAGTCAGTGAAGTGAGATTCATGTCGGCAGGATAAGCGCGACCTCCCACATAGAGAGAAAAACACCATTCTATACACGCCTGGGCTGGTACTCCCTATACACGCCTGGACTGGTACTCCCTATACACGCCTGGACTGGTACTCCCTATACACGCCTGGACTGGTACTCCCTATACACACCTGGACTGGTACTCCCTATACACACCTGGGCTGGTACTCCCTACACGCCTGGACTGGTACTCCCTATACACACCTGGGCCGGTACTACCAAAACACCTCGGCTGGTACTCCCTATAGAGCCTGGGCTGGTACTCCCTATACACACCTGGACTGGTACTCCCTATACACGCCTGGGCCGGTACTCCCTATAGAGCCTGGGCCAGTACTCCCTATAGAGCCTGTACAAATACTACACATGTACAAGTTTGGCGAGCTGAAAGTGTTCATTTAGAAGAGGAAAGACGAACACAGCATAAATGACGACACTTTTTTGCTGCACTATCTGACTGTGTATTATCTTGTTGCCGTGCGGACTGTTAGACCTATAACTCATGACATTTTGCTCCTTTCTCTTATGCAGTCTGGTTTAGTGAGTGTATGTGTGTTAATGTTGTACATCTGTTTAGAAAGTTCAAGCTCAACAAGCCAAGATAGCTAGTTACCTGAGTGCATATCCAGGTAAGTATGATGGAGAGAAAGAGAGAGGAGAAGAACTCGACGCCAACATCAGTGTAAAACTGGACACGTCGTCACGCCTGATTGGCTCTATTGTCGCCCCGGCAACAGAGGAAGACTTGAAGGGACTGCAGGATGATCTGTCTTTCAAGGTGAGCTGCATAGTGTGTGCACGCGTGCATGCGTGTGCGTTTATGTAATCAGCCATGATTTTCTTGTTCCACAATCAACACACAAACATGTATTGTGTAAAAAGCACAATGCGCATGCTAAGACTATACCGATAGAAATACTATAATTCACGGTTCGCGTGAGACCCGGCTGGAAGCCGAGTTTTCCGCATCCGTAGGAACGCCACCACCCTCTAGGATCAAGGCGGAGATGCAGCTCCTCTAAGCGATGGGAGGCACATCAGGCAGGCACTCTGGGATGGTCTAAGACCATGATTGAGAACCAGAGGGTACAAGGTTCAAGTCCTGCTTGGAAGCGGAAGGATTTTTTCCAGCCGTGCTACGACCCACAGTTAATTGGGAACGCGTAGCCTGGCCGTAGCCTGGCACGAGGAAAACATGGCTACAGTGAATAGGATTTCGGTCTTTGACCACTTTGTGCTGGGTCTGATCTATAGAAGACGATACTGTATCCGGAGTTGGTCTCTGATCGGGTAGGCTCTATCAGTGGATGTATACTGTGACAGGAGTTGGTCCCTGACCGCGTAGGCCCTATCAGTCAATGTATACTGTGACAGGAGTTGGTCCCTGACCGGGTAGGCTCTATCAGTGGATGTATACTGTGACAGGAGTTGGTCCCTAACTGGGTAGGTCCTATCAGTGGATGTATACTGTGACAGGAGTTGGTCCCTAACTGAGTAGGTCTAGTCCAGTCACTAGCAGTGCATGTGTCACCCTACTGTGATGGGAAATCCCCTAAGTGCGTATGCATCCTTAGAAATACTTCTACTGGATGCAAATGGATTCCAAAGTCCGTATGCATTTTGAAGCCTTCTAGCAACTATGGCTCCATAAAAAAAACGTTCTGTATATGCTGTATATGTCTCTGTTTCTTTGGGATATGTCTTAAAAAAGTAGTTTACTGTCTGCGGCACAGTGTTCAGTCGTATGGAATGTTTCATGGTGTTTGCTCATGTGTTTCTACTTGGGTGTTGCACATGTGTGCTGTGCATGTGTGTGTGTGTGCTCTGCATGTGTGTGTGTGTGTGTGTGTGTGTGTGTGCGTGTGTGTGTGTGTGTGTGTGTGTGTGTGTGTGTGTGTGTGTGTGTGTGTGTGCTGTGCATGTGTGTGTGTGTGTGTGTGCTGTGCATGTGTGTGTGTGTGTGTGTGTGTGTGTGTGTGTGCTGTGCATGTGTGTGTGTGCTGTGCATGTGTGTTTTCTCATGTGTTTCTACATGTTGCACATGTGTGTGTGTGTGTGTGTGTTGCACGTGTGTGTGTGTGTGTGTGTGTTGCACGTGTGTGTGTGTGTGTGTGTGTGTGTGTGTGTGTGTGTGTGTGTGTGTGTGTGTGTGTGTGTGTGTTGTTACATGTACATCTATCTACTGATATGTACTGGTGTAGGTGGATGCTTTGATGAAATCCGGGGCCACGGCTGAGGACTTGGAGACGCAGCACGAAAATCTCAAGTCTAACATTGCCCGCTTCAGCGCTACCGAAGCAAAGCTGCAGAAAGAGAGAATGTCATTGGACACAAAGGTAAGGTTTGTCAGTCAAGGTCACAAGTACTATACATTTATGAATTTTTGGCGTGTTCAAATGTTGGCCTTCCAGGGCTTACACACACATTTCGACCCCGTTCAATTTTCCGCCTGTAGTGTTGTACTGCTGTTGTGCTCCTGTCTGTATACACCGTCACTCTGAACCGTGCAAAACAAAATTTGGGCCGCAAACAAATTCTAGGTCAAAAATTCCCAGGCCGAAAATAGGTATGTGCCGAATATTTGTTGACTTGCGTGATGATGTGGACACTGAAGCTTACCGACTGCAATAGAATACACTATGGGCAGAGAGAAGGTTCTAAAACTCTCTTCGTCTGCAGTGGTTTCGGATGAGCTGTACTCAGCGCTAAACCTCCAGGGCACGCACATTCAGACGAGTTGTTGTTTGAATTACACGTGACCTATGATGGTCTTGAATATGGCTATGTGCAATAAGAGAACAAGGGCATTAGGGTCATGTCTATTACTTTGCAACTGCACATGATGTTTGTTCACTTGATTATGAATATGCACACACAATACACATGGGCACATGGACATACTGGGTAGACATGGGTACATGGATATTATACTGCATGGATGGGCACGTTGACTAAACCGTGTGGATGGGTACATGGGTATTCACACTACCCATTTGCAAACCTGAGCGACATAGCTTAGGTGACATACAAGCCATGTTCCACTGTACGAATTTCACATATTGGCACTGTACCCTCCTTCACATTTTGCATCTTCCTCTTTTTTGATGTTGCCATTGATGATGGCATGTAATTCTGCCACATTGTGATTTTCTGGATGCTGGGTGAATCTTCAGATATCGCAGATGACTTCGGAACTGGAGCTTATTGAGGACATAGCAGGATTAAGAGAAGGTGCCAAGAAGAGAGGTGGAACGCTCACTCAGGAAAAGAACCATCTCGGTAAGTGACCAGCACATACACATGCCGAAGATGGAAACCCACTAGCCTCCATTACTCAAATGTCAGACTACTGTAAGAGTTGAAAGTTCGACGAGTCTAAAGTTAACGATCTGCAAAAAGTCTCACTTAGCAGGCACATAGTTTAACGACCCTGCCATTATACACCTGTCTTCAAAGTCTCTAGTATTGAGGAGAACAAGAATAACATACTTCGAAGTACAGGTAGTGTACATGTAACGTTTCTCGAGTTCACGATGGATTCTTTCCGGTTACAACGTTAGATTTTGTGCCCTGTTATACTTTCAACTCTTACAGTATTCTGTGAAGTGTGATTGGCTGGTTGCTATGCGTATGTGCATAAAGTGTACTCATATGTACAGCAAGTGTATTCATACGGACAGCAAGATTACGGATTACTCTGTCGGAAGAAGAAACGCATTGCTTATGAGTATGTTGTCTGTTGTGCTTTCGTGCATGTGTGCGTGCATGTGTGTGCGTGCATGCGTGTGTGGGTTTGTGTTTCTGTGTGTATCTGCATATCTGTGTTGTTTCCTAAGACCAAGCCGTACATCAACACCGTGTGCAGATTGATAAGCTGAGTAAGGATGTGGATCAGTTCCGTCTCAAACTGGAGCAAAACGACACGAACAAACAGATTCGCAGCTGGGAGAGAGTCTGGCAGCAGAAAGAGTCCAATATCTACACGATGGAGGTACGATATCCGAATTGAATATTCTTGCAGGCGCATAGCACCATGTATAGTCAGCGTAGCCCCATGTATAGTCAGCGTAGCCCCATGTATAGTCAGCGTAGCCCCATGTATAGTCAGCGTAGTCCCATGTATAGTCAGTGTAGCCCCATGTATAGTCAGTGTAGCCCCATATGTAGTCAGTGTAGCCCCATGTATAGTCAGCGTAGTCCCATGTATAGTCAGTGTAGCCCCATGTATAGTCAGTGTAGCCCCATGTATAGTCAGTGTAGCCCCATATGTAGTCAGTGTAGCCCCATGTATAGTCAGTGTTGCCCCATGTATAGTCAGTGTAGCCCCATGTATAGTCAGTGTAGCCCCATGTATAGTCAGTGTAGCCCCATATGTAGTCAGTGTAGCCCCATGTATAGTCAGTGTAGTCCCATATATCGTCAGTAGCCCCATGTATAGTCAGTGTAGCCCCATGTATAGTCAGTGTAGCCCGCTCACCACACCAGCAAATGACCCTCATAAGAACTGCAAAGTACTCCAAATAGGCGAAAAAGGCGACCATGAGGTTGCCGGTAGTACACGGTCACAACAACACAGATGTGCGAGCCAAGCCCCTGAGTCCCCAAGAATCTTGTGATTTTTCAAGTTGGACCTGGTCACGAGAACGGTGTATGGTCTGCAAGGTTTGAAGACATGCTTTGTATGACACAGTATGTGTAGCGATTGCCAATTATAACCCACTGTGTTTGCTGTGAGCATCTCTGTCAATGGTTTCTGTGAACATCCCTGCCAATGGTTGCTGTGAGCATCCCTGCCAATGGTTGCTGTGAACATCCGGCCAGGGGCGTACATAGGGCGGTTCCCGGGATGCCCGGGAACCAGTAAAACAAATTTGATATGGGTACTAGAGAGAATTTTTTGATCCAGTCCCAGCGCTAGTAATGCACTCACAGACTCACAGTGCAAGTGCATGTCTGGAGTTCGCCTGCCGGTCCGAGGATGGTGACTAGCCCAGGTGTGAAAGTGGTGCTGGGAGTGGGACACAGCGTAGATCTACTGAACTGGGCCATGCCTGAACCCATCATGGGTTCAACAAAGTCTCTAGTCTAGTTACATCGCCGGATTCTTCGATCTCAGAGTCAAATTTTCTTTTGGAGTTTGTTTTGACAAAGTTGGTCGTGTTTTGACGATGCTTTCGCTTTGTGGAAAAGAAAAATGAAGCGTCGACATCCAGAGGGCCGGCGCTCTATTCAGAGCTATTTTGAGATGCAGGCAAAGTGTGTAGCCAGTGCTAGTGGCGAAGGTCAAGCGATAGATGAGAATGCAGACGCACCTGACGTGCAAGTGAAGTATGCATGCAACGAGCAGCGCTGAGGAAGAAATCGTCGGCGAAGCTGTAGAGCGACCGTTGTTGGAAGCTGCTGGATCATCCAAAACTTACTTCAATGACATGGGGAGTGTGTTGGAAGGGATATTCTGAAAGTCGACGTCCACAGTGGAATCCAGTCCCCCGAAATTTGCTGGACACGGAAAAGATTTCCGTCATCGACAATCATTGTGCGCCACCGCAGGCGAAGGATTTCATTTCCTGTGCGTGTCCAGATGGATGGCAAACAGCGCCACTTTCAACTATCCTTGTTGGAGGAGTTACCCTGGATAGTCTTTTGACAGGCATGCAATGGTGGCTTCTGCTTGCCCTGTGTGATGTTTGCTCCAGATGATTCGAAACTTAGGCAGCTTTCAAGACTGCATGCAATCGTCATGCTGAACAAAACATCCATAAAACGGGGAAAAGTTCAGTCTTTTAAAATCATAAATGCCTAGCAATGACATCGTCCAGCAGCTTGTGGATGGCAATTTCACCCAGTCTGAGGAGAATATGCAGAAACTCTGTGGGGTACGAAAAACAGCACTTCAATTGTGTGCAATGGTGGTTCATCAGTTGGCATGGGAACCACTCCTGGAGGCGAGCGGCGTACGCCCCTGGAACATCCCTGCCAATGGTTGCTGTGAGCATCCCTGTCAATGGTTTCTGTGAGCATCCCTGCCAATGGTTGCTGTGAAAATCCCTGTCAATGGTTGCTGTGAACATCCCTGTCAATGGTTTCTGTGAACATCCCTGTCAATGGATTCTGTGAACATCACTGTCAATGTTTGCTCTGCTGTTGGGTGTCAGACTAGGGAACACTTTTAAACGGGTTTTCCATTGCCTTCCTGTAGGTGGATTTGTTTGTGCATTCGTGCGTGCGTGCATGTGTATGTTTATGCGTGTGTGTATGCATTTATGAATTGTGTTCGTTTGTGTTCGGTGATTTTTGCGTGTTTGTGTGTATGCGTATGCATGCGCATTTATGTATTTATGCATGCATGTGTTTATGTGTGTGTGTGTATGTGTGTGTGTGTGTGTGTGTGTGTGTGTGTGTGTGTGTTTGCGTGTGCACGTGTGTGCATGTGTTTCTGTTTTGTTCTGATCCCAGGAATTCATCAAAGCGCGTACGAGTGAGACAAACTTTGAGCCGTTGCAAGTCGGTGTAAGGAACATGCTGGATGAGCATAACGCCGACATCACATCAGCCATACAAAGCCAGATCAGTGCTTCCAGGATTATGAGAGACTATTGAGTTGCTCAAAATCCCTTCTTGGAAACAGACTAAGCATTTCAGTCAATGTTGCAAAGCACCACGCTAGTATCGTAGTTGCCTAATGTTGTGAGCGTTTCTTTCTTGTCTCCTGCCATATCCGAGTTATAAAACCATGTTTGATTGCTCTATCCTAAGGTGGTTGTGAAGGCGGTCGTAACTTCAGGCATGTGTGCACCCGCGTGTGTGCGTGAGTGGGTGTGTGCGTGTGCAGCTAATTTGCTTCACACTGTCCACCAGGCCAACTGGTGGAACATGCGATTAATCAGATATTGTTTTATGTCCAACTTGGGCAACCCAGCAGACTCCAGAATTCAGTGTGTGGTGTGTCTGTGGTCATTGATCTCCCCACTGTTGTTGTGTGGGGTGTGTCTGTGGTCATTGATCTCCCCATGGTGTGTCTGTGGTCATTGATCTCCCCACTCTTGTTTCCCAGAACAAGCCTCTTACTTTTACCAGTTTTCATCCTCAGTATGTCGCTGTGAATTTGAAAATATTCTAAAAAGTACTTGTAGAGTGTACTAGTTACTGTTGAAGTACACACTCATTCAGTTTATTATGTCATACTGATGTCATACTGATGTCATACTGATAACTGATTACCCTGTTTTAACTAGGCCGTTTTCACTAAAGAATTACTATCTTCTGATTTCTTGCTCCGCATACTTCGCCGAGCGAGCCCTTCTGAAGAAGAGACTTTTGGCGTGTTTGGCGATGGTGGTCATAGGGCGGAAAGTGTAGTGTTTGGTGCAAACCAGTTCACCTCGAGCACCTATGACTCCGGACAGGACCTTGGGATTTTGAAAAACCTCATGGAAATTGTTTTTCAAGAGTAGGATGCTCCTACGTGGAACACATACAATGCTGGCAACTGAAATCCGACCCCCCCCCCCCCCCCGAGCGGTGCGCTCACATCGCAAAGAATGTGAACCCACCGCTGAGGGGGTCGGATTTCAGTTGCCAGCAGTGTACTTCCTGACGCTCACTTGACTGGATTTAGACTGCCAACCGCAGCAAAACAACCCCGAGATCATCGCACCTCGGACTCTGCAAACCGTTAAGAAAGCACCACACCTTCAGGGGTGTTGGAAGGTATTTGTCATTGGTGCAGCCGCATGAGTAGGTGGGTGTCGGGGTCCCCCCTCCCCTCGTGAAAAGTTTAGGGAAATTGGGCCCAAAAATATTCCATAATTATTTCATTTCTTCAAAAGGCACAAGATGAAAATATTTGGTGTGGCTTTAGCCGGACCTGTCGCATAGGTTCCGACGCCGCTGACCTTGTTCCCTACACAGTGACAGTGTTTCAGGGAAACTGCCCTCACCAGTTGTGTTTGAATAGATTATGAAATTTGTGCTCAAGAACTATTCGCTCATAAGCATGTCATTGTGGCATGTGAACTCGGGCAAGGAACGTGTGTTGAACGGGGAAATACGCAACTTCATAATTACGCTCATACCTCGTTTATCCGGGCAGTCCAGAACCGGGCACTGCCCGTAACTTCGAAATGTTCGTAACTCCGAATTATAATTCTAATGGAGAGAGGCCAGAAAATAATAGTGACGTCACATTTCCACTGAAACTCGCTCAAAGGGTGCCCAGAGACCGAAGTGCCCGTAACTTCGGGTTCCGGATAACCAAGGTATGAATGTATACAGACACCAGGCATGTGGCTACTTCTTTGCGTTTACAGATACGAATACCGCTGAAGTCACTACTTCCTACTTCAGTACTTCTTACACGTGGACTCAATAACTCAAGAGGGCAACCTGAATGGTAACGAAGACACTTTATTCAATCGGTGTAAACCGATAGAAACAATGCACAATAACAAAGGAAGACCACAACAGAAATCGTAAAAAAGAGAGAAAAAAAAGATTCGAGAAGGGTTTTGTGCAACACTCATCGGGAAAACGGTCGATGCACATGCCGACACTGGGGTACCGGATTTTAGACGGTTGTCAGGCTTGGCGACACTTGCATCAGCACCTTGACCCGGTATACGTGTTGTACTCCCTCCATCAAGCTTATTTCCTCCTCCAACGTCCGTAGGGGATTGCAGTCAGACCAGTTATACTCTCTATGAAACAATAAGAATAAAGCAAAGCAAACATCTCTTAATTGAAGTACTGTCAATCTTGTAACAACAATGTACTAACAAACGAGAACATCTAACTTCACAATTTACAGCCTGCGTTGTTTTGTATTTGTATTGTATTTATTCAGCATTTCCTGGCTCATCAAACGATTGCCAATGACAATTGAATGTGAAATGAAGGGTGGTAACCAACCACGGCAACTATCCAAGGCAACGCAGTGCAAAAATGAAAAGGGGCGGTTACAACAAGGTTCTGCTAGCCGCTTGCTATCGACATCCTGTCATCTTGTCCGGTCATCTTGTCCGGTCATCTTGCCCGGTCATCATTCTTGTCCGGTCATCTTGTCCGGTCATCTTGTCCGGTCATCTTGTCTGGTCATCTTGTCCGGTCATCTTGTCTGGTCTTTTTCATTCAAATGCTATGTTAGGGTCCACATCCAAATAACTTGAACTCTTCAACTTTTTGGTGTGCCGTTATCAACCCAGCAAATGTGTTCTTTCAGAAAGTGGTGGACATCACGCAACTGCATTGTAAATAAAGGGGGGGGGGGGGGGGTTGTCAACTGACAACCGCTCTATTTAGTTGCCATTAAACCTAGCTATTATCATCTTTGATGACCGGAGGATGTACCCCAATGTGCTGACAGTGCTAAACACTGCCACGGAGGCAGAGCGTAATACACAGAACAACAAGGACAAGCAAGGCTTGTTGCCTGATGATTGCGTAAGCATGAAACTCAGAGTAGTGACAAAATCAGCTGTGCTTGCCCCCTGGTTGTTCTGTGATGGTCTGGGATGATAATGATCGCACAACTTACGCGAGTACATATGAAGGCAAACGTTGCTGTGGCATCTGGCACGCTCATCAGCTCTCTACTGATGATGTCATACATGATCGAAGGGGTCGACCTTGAACGTGTCCTAACTGTTCTCATCCAGACGGTGTCAACAGCTGCACGCCCCAGTACATCCTGCAACAAACGACCATAAACAAATTATCACTTTAGTGTACAGCCTCCAGATCACACTAAGAAAAACCCTCTACGCAAATATTACTGACCGTATCTCATTTTCCTTACGAACTGAGTTGTGCAGTCCGTCAAGATCGACAGGCCAAGTTGGTGTAATTTGACATTACGCAGACTTTTGGATCGAACAGGACATTTTGTCAAACTCCCAAACTTTGTTATACACCTAGCTACCGTATGTTGCTGAATATAATTCCAAGCACCTTTTTACACTAAAATTCATGGGCACAATCAGGCATGACTCACTGCTGAAGTGAATAATTACAGTCAACGTTGCGTATAACGACACTTGGCGAGGCATCATAAAAGTGTCCCTATTCCGGCTCGAAATGTCCTTGTACCCGAAGTCTCTTTATATGTGTTCAGGTAGAATGGACTTTGCTCTGGGCATGGAAATTCAGTCGTTATTCGCGAATTGTCACTATATCCGTGGTCGTTATTAGCGAATTGTCACTATATCCGTGGTGGTTATTAGCGAATTGTCAGTATATCCGTGGTCGTTATTAGCGAATTGTCACTATATCCACGGTCGTTATTAGCGAATGGTCACTATATCCGTGGTCGTTATTAGCCAAGTTGACTGTATATCAAAACAATATGTCTCACAACCTGAAATTAAGGTTACGACTTATAATCGGGGAAAAATGTATTAGGATTTGCAGTATGAGGATACAGAAATCACTTAACACAACATAACACTGAATCTAGTTTGTACTACAATAGTTTACTTCCAGAATTGCAAGTGTCGCGTTCTGCTCGTCAGGGGAAAGATACCGTTCTGTTCGTCAGGGGAAAGATACCGTTCTATATAACGATTTTCCAAAATTGACTAGTTTACGTGTACCAAAGGTAACGATTTTCACTCAGTCTCAACGCTCAATAGTACATGTGTCAATTTCTGTATAACGATTTATATTTTATACAGATTTCACCTCGTTAACTCGTTAGAGTTAGCACTTTGTTATATAATATGGCTTTTACAGTAAGTGACAAATATACACGGGAGAATGGGACAGCAAAGATAGCACTTCATAATGTGGCAATGTATGGGTAAATGTGGGGAGTGGAAAATAACTGGAATTGTGTAAGTGCGGTAAAAGTTTCTTTTTGCTTACACAGGTTTGGATCACAAGTACATTCGTACTCATTTTTTACTACACTTTTTTTACTACACTTTTTTTACTACCGCTAAAAATACTGGTTTCCTATAAGTAGATGGCATTCAACGTAATCATGCAGTCTCAGTTTCTTAATCAGTCTCAGTTTCTTAATCAGTCTCAGTTTCTTACCATGTACGAGGAACACTGGGTGAATTTCTCGTGCAAGCGAGTTCTTAGCAACTTCATCTCATTTTGCCTGCAGAATCTCTGAGCCTTGCGAAAGCTAGTACGGGTGAGATTGACAGCGACTTTGAACCTCTGCCCTTCACATTCAAAGTCCAGATCTAAACAACAGGAATGAAAACAGCTGACATATTTTTAATGCCGCTCTTCTGTAGATTGCTTCAATGTGTGTGCGCAACGGCAAAAAGAACTGCAATTTTGGTCCCGACACCACCAGTGCATGGACAGAAATGGACAAAAACACGTTACACAAGAGAGATTGGAAGCTGTGTCGCAACTCTGAGTTTCACGTATTACTACTGTCATCAGGCAATGGCAAAAACACATTAGCAAAACAACGCCAGGAGGAGAGGGGCACTACTCAAGAGAGGGCTCTAATCGCACGAGTACAGTTATTGAAAAATTGAATCAGATTAGATGGATACTGCTTCAAATTGTCCCAAAAGTCCAAAAAAACACTTCTTGGAGAACAGTTCTCCTCTAATGCAACTCACAGCGATACAGAAGACTCTATCTGCCACCATCACCACATCTTAAACAAACCAGACATGATCAGCATGACTTACTCTTGCACTGTGGTGTTGCAGTCAAAGTTCCATCCGATGTACAGTTTGCTGTTGTGGGTCCATCCAGCGAGTATCCAGTATTACATGTGTACACTACACTGTCAGGATAGTAGATAGATAGACTGCTAGCACTGCCATGAACAGGTGGTATGACATCACATGATGTAACTGGAAGGGAAATACATACATGGACAATCAGAGGGACGTCAACACAGAGACAGAAATAGTACCATGGAGATAACAAAACAGTCGACAAGGAACAATAAACAGTGCTAGCAACTTTGGCAATCTCTTAGCATGTCCTAATTTGTCTGGTGGTGTCTACTTCATCAGTACTTGTGTACGATGCATGCTGAAGCATGAGATAGAAATATTGTATTCATTTAATTGAGAGGACTATAGTACCCCCCCCCCATCCCTTCATCGAAATTGTCGCAGTTTGACTAGTGATAAAAACGTGGTATTTCCTCACCAGCAACCGTACCACAGGTAAGGACAAGGTTATGGTCTTCAGTTTCAGTCTTGGGTGAACTGACGATTCTTTTATTTGTGAATCGGAGCTGAAAGTTTTGATAAGTAATTTCCTCGTTGATGTGACTCCGATTGTAGTTCTGACTATCTGTGATGAGTCAGGTGAAACTGCCTGCGTATTTCTCTGGCGCTTAGCCATCACTCTAAATACTCACCGCTGTTTTCGCCTGAGCAGGGGAGAAGGAGTTCGCCGAACAACCTCCAGGGTTGGGATCACGTTGCGAGAAAATGACGGGTGAGCAAACGGAATACACGAGGGAAAAAACCGAGACACCTGCATTGAGACGGTATCATGATGATGCATGCGCAGGCACTATACCTGTGATGCTGAAAAGAGGGCACGCTCAACGTGCATGTACAATGTGGTTCAAGCGTGGATATGAGGCACGCCCGATGCTGGCTAGCTTGGCTCAACACTTAACTGCATGATGCCGTGCGAGTACAAACTAACTTGTGTACAGGGCAGCTAGTGCAAGCGAGTATCAAATGTGCATTGACTTCTCGTAGTTGAATTGGTGAATCACGACATAGCAGTTGTGCACTAGAGTTTTTCAGGTACAGTCAACTTGGCTAATAACAACTGCGGATATAACGACAATGCGCGAATAACGACAGAATTTTCATGCCCAAAGCAAAGTCCATTCTACCTGCAGGGGCGTCGGAAGGTATTTTAGTGTGGTACGGTCAGCCATCTGAAGTACAATTTACGCATGGGGAGGGGTGGCTGAACCGAAATATTTGGAAATTTAGATCCCAGATCAGTGTATTAATTTAATTTTGTTTAATTCACGGGGTACCTGGGGAAAAAGTGGTACGATCAATACCGTAGTGACCGTACCGTGTCCGACGCCCCTGACCTGTATACATTCTAATAAGACTTCGGGTATAAAGACACTTCGCGAATAAGCTCTGATGCCCCCACCGAGTGTCCTTATTCGCAATTAGTTAACTGTAAGCATTGCAGTTGGAAAATCAATAATCAAAAAAAGTTCTCTTTGGGGCACAGCCGAAGGCCCTCCGTCACCTGAAGAATGTATGTTGTAACCGAGCATACACACGAAGTACGTGGGCTCATACCAACCTGTGCGAAATTTTGAAAATATTGGTGGGAGAGTGGCACGCATGTGAAACTCAAGTGAACTACTTCCTCCGGAAACAAAAACTTCGTGACTTTTCTCACTACTTTTCGCTGCTGATATTTCGCTCTTTCTCTTTGGTTCTGTCAACCTGAAACACTGACATGACATTTCTGAATCGTAGGAAAGCATTGTTCATATTCTGGAGAGCCGACAGTCGTCGCAGAGCAAGGGTGTCGATGCTGTAATCAAAGCAACGTGAACATGTTTTTTTCATTTTCGTTCACCTGACGCAATGCGAAGAAAAGCACTGTGCTCACTGCTCGTCGCTGCTATTTTTTAGTTCAGAACTTGACAAAGCAGGACAATGGCACCCAGGAGCAAGAAGAGTGGACAATGAATAGCAATAGTAGTTAGCGTTTTGAAATCTTTGCCATCCCCGAAACGCTTGTCGCCATGCAAACAGGTCGGCAAGATGTCAAAACTCCAAAACGCAGAGATGTGACAATCGTCACTTCGCGCAGCAGAGCAAGATGAACAAGATCAAAATAGAAGCGTCGTTCCGCCACTCCAGAGACCAGAACTCAACGTGGATGATCTCGCCTTTTCCAGCAGCCTCGACAATTGTGTCCTTGGTCGCAAAGGAGAACAGGCGAGATAATAATCGGGGCAGTCTGGGAGTGCTGGTACCACTATGATATACCTCGGACGAAATTTGAAATGTTCGGCTTTGCCTGTGTTTGTTGTTCCGGGGCATCCTCGATCGAGAGCTAAGGCGGTATTGAGTACCAGCGCTGCAGCGCCACCTTGGTCTCCGCAGAGATGTTAGAGAAGGCATTCAGGTAACAGCGGAGACGATCAGGGATGCGGAGAAGCTTCTCCGCGACATACGACATCGCGTCGATCGACCTGCCACTTGGAACGGTTTGAGCAGTGATGAGTCGAGCGCTGGCGATCCAAACTGAGACTCTATTCCCACTAATTGATCCTGTAGATATTGTAGATATGTCGATTGAATGTGTTGAAGTGTTTCTCTTCCAAAAGAACACTTCTGTTGAGCACAGTAACTCTGTGAAAAGTCATGTAAAAAGTCACAAAGTTTTTGTTTCCGGAGAAAGTAGCTGCCGAGTACATGAGAACTTTCAGAGCCATATGAGACTACTGTTGCAGTCCTTGCTGACTGGTTGTAGCGGACAAGTTCTTCTTTCTTGTCCTGTTGGCTGTTGTTGAACAAAGACTCTAATTGAACGAGTGTGGCCATTGAATAAATCGGATAGGATCGGAAGGATGCAGCCTCTATTTGTGCATAAATCCCAAAAACACATTTTGGAGTATCAGTACTCCCATTAGTCATCTCTTAGCGCTACAGTAGACTCTGAGAAAGAAAAGCCACCATCACCACACAAAGCAGACAGGATCGGCATGACTGACTCTTGCACTGTGGTGTTGCAGTCAACGTTCCATCCGATGTACAGTTTGCTGTTGTGGGTCCATCCAGCGAGTATCCAGTATTACATGTGTACACTACTCTGTCAAGATACTGGATAGATAGACTGCTAGCACTTCCATGAACAGGTGGTATGACATCACATGATGTAACTGGAAGGGAAATATATACATGGACAATCAGAGAGAAGTAAACACAGAGACAGAGACAGAAATAGTAAAATGGAGATACGAAAACAGTCGACAAGGACCTAAGATGAAATATTCGTATCGACTTTGGCAATCGTTTAACATCTCCTAGTTCCCTGGTGGTTTTCACTTGGATATTCTGCTATTGTGCTACTTACTATCAGACAGATTCGCAAGAGATGTGTTTCCTAATGTTCAGTGTCACACGTTCTTTAAGAACTAAGCTTTTATTGTCGTCAAGGCGACCATCAATCAATGTCCGCCAGGGGCGTCATCGGAGTCCAATGTACCGTAATTTTAATATTCTTTTCTGTCTCTTTCAGGGTCTCTTATTAGTTAAACTCCGACTGGAGGTACTTTTTAAAAGCAGATTTGTACAATTATGTGTTTGCGGTATCGTACAGTGCAGGCAGAAAATGTATGGTGCACAAATAGAGAGCAAGAGCTCACCTCCCCAATTCTGCTGTGACATTGCAGCTCATACTGGCTAAGATTGTCAGCCTCTCTCTCTGCCAGGGAAGATATGACCTGGCTAGTGTTAGCATCACAGGGCATGCCAGGCTCAATGGTCTGTTAGAATCCTCCCTGTCGGCCGGTGCAGGGGTACGGTCCTCAAACCAACTTGTCGTGTAGAAACAATGTATAGCCATAAAGTCCTCCATGCCATTCACAGACCCTCTATGCCATTCACAAACCTTTATGTCCTCCATGCCACGCACAAACCTTTAGGTCCTTTGATTTTGAGCACCATTTGGTAATTCTAATTTAGACTGAATTTACAAAGAACCAGTGGTAGTATCCCCTCCCCCCCCCCCCCACACACACATCCCTCCCCTCCATCCCCATCCAAGCAAGAATGGAATGACTAACCCTTGCACTTAGGTGTTGTAGTCAATGTTCCATCCGATGTACAGTTTGCTGTTGTCGGTCCATCCAGCCAGTATCCAGTATCACATGTGTACTGTACACTGTCAGGATAGTGGACAAATAGTTTGCTTGCATTGCCAAACTTAGGTTGTGTCACATGACACATTACCGCTGTGAAAGGAAAAGGAGAATGGTGAAAATTTGTTTGTCCCCAATACAACAAGACTATACCACAGCCCAATCAGTGGCATGGCATGCACACACCAATCGTGGTTGGCGAACAGACATCAACATGAATATAATAATTATATTATGCATACATTGGTTGTGTGAGGTCATATGTATGAATGCCATCCTTGAGGTGTTACAAGCCAATCTCTATCCTGAAGATTAGCCCAAAACCTCATTCTAGAGGCACTCAGGATTGCCAGCATGGAGTTGTATATTTATGACTAAGTTGCCCAAAGAGAATGCATAAACGAAGGAGAATGTATCATCCAAGGTTTTCTTTGGTGAAGCGATCACAGTATAAAGTTACCTTTTCTATGAAGAATATTCTATGATAGACTCGGATGGAGAGCCAATGATTAATTTATAGTAAAAAATGACCAAGGAACTACAACCTTCCAAGTTGGAAGGCTGTTGGTTTGCGCACTGGAGATGTGTTAGAGCTAGGTCTTAGGTCGCTGAATGTCTCAGTAGCCTGTCAGTTTTGTGCCCTGTTATCGCACGTACCGACCGTTTATTATCTCGTCAATATCGTGGATAGTTGCTTCATAACTAGTTTCCATTTGATTTCTTCTTTTTCATTAATTTTTTATTCTTATTTTCTTCTAAGTTCGTATTCTTATTTTACTGGGGAATTCCCAACAGGCGTCATCGCGTTCGTACAGGCTACCCTAATAAAGTCTTGATGGATGATCGAAATTCAGCGGGTGAATTAGAAAGGCGGTAAGCAGGTGGCAGTGCATCTTCCATTTTAAGGAACTACAAGTTATATGCTATAATGTCCACTAACAGCACCAATTACTTGACAATCAGCTGACAATCAGCTGACAATCAGCTGACAATCTAGCTGACAATCAGCTGACAATCAGCTGACAATCAGCTGACAATCAGCTGACAATCAGCTGACAATCAGCTGACAATCAGCTGACAATCAGCTGATAATCAGCTCATGCGATAACTTTGCACAAAACTGACCAACAGTACTGTCGGTCACTTTTGTGTAATTTTATCGGACAAGCTGATTGGTAAGTAATTGGTGGTGTAAGTGGACGATGTATCGTATGTTGTAGTTCATTGGTCCTCAGGCGCGTGTCCCGTATGGGTTCCTGGGTGCCCGGAACCCCCTTTTTTCGCTCAAAATGCAGGATTTTGCTTCATTTTTTGAAAATTTTCCCGAGGAAGGCCCCCTGGAACCCCCCTTGAAGGGCACCGCCGCACGCGCCTTGTCGTTTCTTAATATACAATGAGATAGTGGTAGTGATTTCGGCAATGATGTCATAGTAAAGACGTTCCCCACGCCAGAGCTAGCGCTTTGGCAATCGTCGCCAAAGTCTCCACTACTATCTCGTTCAGTCGGGGGGGGGGGGGGGGGGGAAGGGGGGGGGGGGGGGGAAGGGGGGGGGGGGGAGGGGGGGGGGGCTCTGGCATGGGGAGCAACTTTTCCTAACATACAATAATTTAACAAGCTGGTAAATGGCTGGTTTTACGCCGACTGTAAACTTGAACGCAACCAATAATTGCAACGTTACAGACTTGCTATGTGAGGTGGATAAGTTCAGCTTACCTCTTTGGCATATAAATGGTTTTTCATCATTGCAGTCAACGTCATCCCATTTGCCATTCCCACCGTGCAGCATTTCTCCACATTGGGTGAAGTGAGAGTCGGGCTGACCCGGCGCAAAGTTTTGCCACGTTATTGGTTGCAAGTCGGGGTTATTCCATATTCGGGCCTTAAAATCAGGCCAGATGCCCAGCCAAAATGCACTTGAGGAGTGAAAGTCTTTCAGGCATTTGTTTTCATTTTCATTTCTCGGCCAGGCAACTTGGCCGTGTTTAAAACTTCTCCTGCACAACTCGTGGGCCTGGGCTGCACTTTTGTTTACTCCGGGAAACTTCACGTATTCAATACCCGCTACACTTCCACAGTGATGCGTTCCTGGAGAAAGGAAAATACACACACACATGCAAGAACACACACACACACACACATACATACACACAAATACACATACACACACATATGCACACACACACACACACACACATACACCCCCCCCCACACACACACACACACATACACACACACACACACACACACACCCACATACATGCACAAACACGCACACATAAAGAAACACACGCACCAACACACAAACATAACCAGATATGCACACAAATACACACAAACATGCCCAAAACACACACACAAACACACATACACACACACACACACCCACAGACACACACTCCCCCCCCCCGCATACACACAAAACACACACACATACATACACAAAAACACACACATATTCACATACACACACAAAACACACACACATACATACACAAAAACACACACATATCCACATACACACACAAACAAGCCCAAAAATCAGACAAACACACAAACACACACACACACACACACGCGCGTGCATCTCATCCTGACATTACACATCTCATCATGGCATTACAATGACAGAAAATGCAATATCTGATTTTTTGGGAGGGGACGGGGTGCACCTGCTGACAGAAACTAACTGTTCAGATCCAACTCCCCAGAATGATCATGGGAGATATTCGGACTGTGCGCATGCTATCCTTCATTGCACGTGGTACGAAACGTAACTGAGCCATGCCATTATCACATGTACTTGCACATATAATCTTCACTTACCCGTGCAACTGTAATTAAACAGCTGTCCAGTACAGGTGGGGCATCTATCGATGACGGGAACGCTGTGACAGGGTCTCTGGCAATTCGTTGCAGTCAAACCTAGAGGAGAAGAAAATACACGAACAATAACAATAACATCAGCATGTTGTTCGCTAACCTTTTCGGCCGCAGTAATTCCATTCAAACTCGTGGTGGGCACAGGAATTTACTGAATGTCCCAGCCAGCCCAACTGCATATCTTGCCAAACATGTTACCTATGCTGGGACCATCTTATGGAACCAGCTCCCCGCTGCGGTCAGGCAAGAAAGAAAACGCAATCGCTTTAAGTCAATGGCTCTTGCCTTTTTGCTTACCAGATGAATAAGACTCTTTACAAATGCTGTATGCACTGCTCTTTCCGTTATTTTCTTCCTATGCAAGTCGCAACTCCTGTTTTGAGTTGTTTCTATACTCTCTTTTTCTTTCCCTAATAGTTGCTGTTACACTCATTGATTCTTATGCACAGATATACAGCATTCCCTCACTAGTGGGACCGTTGTTAACAGGCCAGGGCCTGTTTTGGACTTCCTACTCTAAATAAAGAGTACAAACAAACAAACAACGCCATTACGTACAGGAAAAATATACGCCATTGCACACAGGAACAATACACGCCATTGCACACGAGTACTATGTATCTATTATTGCATAATATATCTTGGCTGTTCGTCCAGTATTGCCGGTTGTCTGCTTATTGCCTATGGGCATGATTCTATTAGTTACAAGAAATGATGCGTGGTGATCTGTGCCGTGTGTAAGATAGGCTTTAAACCACCAAACAATAAGAGGACAGAGACAGTGTTTTAGGCTCAGAGAGCTCTATTCAAATGAATATTGAGCACACCCTACCGAGCCGGAGGACTCCCATTTGTATCTATTTTTGAACAATATATGAAATCTAGTAGCAGTGGTGAGGCTTCCTGCAGCTTCATTCATAGTCACTGTTGAGTACGAAAAGGACGACGGCATATTCTCCAGACATTACAACGGACAACGGGAACTGGTAGGGCGGGAACGACATGTATTAGGGAGAGGAAGAGACAGAGACCAAGACGAAAGAAACGACATTGTGGAAGAGAGAGAGAGACAAGGGAGAAAGATCAGTGAGAACGGCAAGATAAAGGGCCTGGGTAGCTATGGCAAATAGGGGCACGCAAGTAGCTACCCAGGCCAACGGAACAAAAGGTGACAAAAGGAGACAAAAGGTGAGTACGACGTAGTATGGGGTGCATGTAGGCCAGCTTGGAAAAAGGTTGTACGGGAGGAGGGACCTAACAATATAGTAAAAAATATAACTGCTGCTTTGCAACTTGCACACCATTGCATACCTGATACGGGCAATTTTGCCGAACCGTCAAAAATTGAGAAATGAGGTCGAGTTTTGCAGAGTGAATGGGAAGAGAGTGATACTGCTCTGAAACCTTTTTTCCTATGAAATATAGAACGAGGATAACAACGAGGCGAAGCCGACGTCTTTTACGAGGTCTATATTTCATATATTGACCGATTATTTGGGCAATTATAGCCTTATCACGGCATAGCATTCCTAAACTGTTTTAGCTTTGTGTATAGGAAGAAAGGAATACTATTGTAATAGTACATAGTATGTACATATGTTGTTTATAATAGCTATAAAGAGAACAAATTCTGCCGTCATCGCCACACTACAACAAAGTCATGAAGGTTAACCAAAATCGATTTTCTTGTCACAATCATCAGTGGAAAGCCGTGACTGAAGAATAACCATGCCAAATCAATAATTTATATACATTCAATAATGTGTTACGAGAACAAAACTTTTTTTTTGTAGTGTGGCGATGACGGCAGAATTTGTTCTCTTTATAGCTATTATAAAAGTGTTGTCTCTGTGTCGACTATTTACATAATTATGCCGTTTACATTGGACATTACTTCTCTATAAACAGAAGTTTTCAGTTGTCACTTGTAGTATGTTCCCCAAGTTCTTTGACTGAGAATCTGACAGTTTGGGTTAAAGTCCCAGCCTTTGCCTTCAGATTTTCTTCTTTCTTTCAGATTTTTTCTAAGTTGAGGACAAAGTTCTAAGTCCTTCGGCTGACTGTATAAGATCTGGTTACGTTGGTGGACAGTTAGTCATAACTCGTAACATTTTGTCCTTCTTCCTTCGGCTGAAATGGTCAATAATAATACCACAGTCACACCAAACAAGTCATTTCCAGCTTGCGCTGAAAGTGGCTTGTGCTGAATGAAGCGGCTGGTCACATCGACCTATGAGATTCGTTGAATTGTTTTGTCAATGCCGGAAATAACTAAGTCTTTTATCCCTGTTCCATCTCTTCGAAGAAACCTATTGCTGTTTTGCGAAGTGCGTGCACTTCAAGTAGCCAGTAGGACAGGGCAATGGTTGTGCCGTGTGTGTGTGGTCAGCTTGCACTACATATCACTCCAGGGGAAAACAAGTTGCCAACTCTCCAACGGCCACACGTTCTCCAAATCCAACCTCGCTGAAAGAAAGTATGCATGGAGTATGGATACCTACCTTTTTTGCAAAGATACCAGCTATGAAATAACCTAGAAATATTCTGCTTGAACAAACGGCGAGGAGACAACAATTTGATAACAATAATAAAAAGACAAGCTGTTTTACACTGCATGAATAAAGTATACACAAATGTCGATTCAGCTTGTCTTATTGATTGCGGTTATATTCTGTTTACTTCCTAATTTGTCCTTATGGCCTCACAAAATTAGAAAATAATCAGAACAAAAGCGGCACATGTTGAGAAGTTCAACATGCTGCTTCTCAACATGAGGAAAAACACCACCTGATCTACAACAACGAATCAACAGTCACTGCAAAAGTCACACAAAGTCACGTAGATCTGCTCTGGTTCGGTCGTGTTTGGACGGATCCTGGTAGAAAATGTCGTTACTCAAACCTGGACGGTCAATAATAATAATAATAATTCGAAGAAAAAGAACAGCGTTTTTCCATGGCTTTTTTCTTCTTACATGTAGTTTTCCGTACCCTTTAGATTGTTTTTGCATCGTCTCCATCGCTTACCTTGTTCAATAAAGTGTTCCAAATGTCACTTCAGCTCGTCCTGCTTATTGCCATATTAAAAAAAACAGCTCGCATATTATTCAGAATTGAGCTCTACGCATCTGTGAATGAAGCGTTTCCAATCAATCATGGCCGTTTTCGGCTAAAACAAAGGCACCAGGGACAGTGATGTTGGTTTCCTTCAGGTCTTGCTTTATAATGTTGGTTCATCTGTTTGGTGGAGGTCCAAGATCTTATGAACTTTCTCTGTGTACAACCTCTCTAGTCTTGCCAGACTATGTGTACTAGGAGTGGAACAATCCCTGTACGTACCTCTGCTGGAAAGGGTTAGCTACAGGTTTTGGGGTGTAACGCTCATCTGCTTACATTTAGAAAAGCGATCCTGTCAGCTTTTCTATTATTGTGTTCACATGGCAAGAAAAACGACACCGCTATACTACGTAAGTTTCTACGTAAGGTGCTCGGTATTTCACTTTGGCTACGTATATGATGATTCGTTTTTATATATGTGTTGATTCTTCACAAAATGTGTTATTTTGCCCGTACAAGAGGCTCAGTTTTCCGTGTGAAAAAAAAAAAAAAAAACTTTGGCTACGTAAGTCTCTACGTAAGGTGCTCGGTATTTAGATCTACCAACGGGTGGTACCCGCGTGCTGTGCACGTGCACGACAGACATTGTGTTGCAGTGCAGTCCGTGTTCGCATGTGCATGCGCAAGGAACTTCCTCCTTTGGAACTGCTTCTTGTATGAGCTGTTTCGGATATTTCGTCTCCTGGCCTGGCTTATTTCGTTTCGGCGCTGCTGAGACCTCCTTTCGCGGAATATTACTCAATGACAGGTGAGTTGACCAGTTTCCTTTGATTCATTTGCTTGTGTTGACTCTTTCATTTACAAAAGTGTGTTGATTTTGGGCGGAATGCAATAAATAATGGAAAAGCTGGCAGGATCTCTTTTCTAAATTTAGCTTTTCCGCTGCCGAGGCCTCCTTTTACGGAATACTCGATGACAGGTGATCTCTGAGTTGACCGGTTCCCTTCGATTCATTTGCTTATGCTCACCCTTTCATTTACGGAAACGTGTGCTGATTTTATTCGGATTTAGATCCATTTTTATCTCTTTGCCCTTGTCTACAGTGTGCGAAGAACGCGAGTTCACCTTCTTGACGGTAAGGCTTATGTTAGATGTGTTGTCGAAATACTCATATTCATTGTACATTGGTACGTTACAAGTAAGGCACTGGTCAGTGGCATACTATCGTTGGCAGTTCCCAATCTGGAGGGAAAGGTTCAAGGACCCATTGACCAAGTTTGCAAAATAAATTCGCATATCAGGGAAAATCTCCATTGTGGAGAGGTTCAGTAAACTTGTTTGCTTCATACGAAACAAGCCAATGGGTGCAGTCTCGTCTCGTGAAGATCTCGTACTTGTATGATTGGATTTGTTTAGTCGAGTCTGGGCTGTTTGATTTATTATTTGTGAGTACCGCCGAGATTGCACTGCCCCAAATAAAGTTTCGCGCCGCCAAAGCAAGAATTACGATCTGCAATCTGTTTGTAGTGCCTGCAAGAATGTGCTGTACATGTATCGTACTTTCTCTGTTGCTGTTTCAGTTGCCGTCATGTTGCTAAAGAAACGTTCTGTAGAGAGGTTCTGCAAAACGAAAATTCGAACGAAGTTTCGCGACAGTCCTTGCGAAACTGTGTACGAATTTTTGCACAAACTTTGCGTTCTGCACATTTTCGTAGTTTGCGCGGGCCAAGTGCACGTACGCCATGACCAGATCTCACGAAAGTCTGTACGACAGTTCATTTCGCGTCCAAAGTGGCGAAAGTTCGTGCGAAGTTTCGCACTTCATGACGTAGAACGAAAGTTTGTACGCATTTTCGTTTTGCAGAACCTCTCTAGTGACTCATTTGTTTCACACGAGATGAGTCAATGAGTTGTTGTGGCTTAGAATCTTTCGCTGTAGAAGAAATCTATTCGTATGTCTATTGGAGAAATAATTGTATTCACTGG